TGACCATAGTCTTCCTTTTCTTTTCTAGCACCATCATATCTACTAGTAAATCGATTAGGAAAGTGTTACCCGTTTACCTATCTTCTCCCTCAAGATATTATCCGTCATTAATTAATTAATTACACGCTATCAAAAGTACACTGTTGAATACAACTGCCTTTTCTCTAGATTGCCTCATACGTGGAATATTTGCCATAGTTCACTCTATTATCAAATGGGTTGGCAACCGTAATATTTTATAATGTATTTTGAGTTGTTATCAGGAAGATACTGCTATTTATCTCCTGTTTTATTATCCTCTGTTGACTTTTTCTCACGGGATGATATTTGGTCTTAGAGCTTCTACAGTTTTCGCGTTATAGCATGATGCGGGTGAAAGCTTACAGTTTAGCGTCTCTAGAGATGGAACAATGTTAAATCGAATTAAAAAAGGTGTTTACCGGTACACAAACCAAAGCAAAAATTAACGATTAGTTGTCGATAAAAAATTAAAACCGGAGCATATATTTCTTTATAAATATATTACAAAATGCATATAAATTTTAGTTACAGTTTATTACAAACTAGCTTTTTACCCGCGGCTTCGCTCACATGAGCTTGAATTTAGGAACGCCATTATATGCTATTCCGTGGCAAATTTAGAAAAATTCGATCGCTTTTAGAGTCAGTTGTCTGTGTCTCTATGTCTGTCAAAGATTTTTTATTTAATTCTAAGTGACTATTAGACGTACATTATGCATAGATTATGTATATTTGGCATAGATATAATATGCTACAGGAACACGTGAATGTACCTATATGTATAGAAAACACCTACTACTTTTTATATCGGGCATGTATTCCGATGTATCCATAAGAAAGGTAAATTGTCTCGGAATGAAAATGTATTATTATCTATTATTTACATTTTACTCTTTACATTAATTTATTTACTTAAAGTTAATTTAGTTTTAACAAAATAATGATGAGTTTCATGGTTTTCAATTTACGGGATAATGTTTATTTCAGATATTTTATATTGATCGGCACCATAAAATAGATGTAAATATTTTTTTTTACATTCGAGTAGACTATAAAATTTCATAAATGCAGTTCTATAGCGCTGAATACAGTATAAATTATCATAGAACTGCATTTATGAAATTATAAAATTTAGTATACAGTATACTATACATGGAATAAAACTAATGTTACGGATTTTATCACGTTTAATTTTAACTTCTTTACGTGGGGTTTTTTACGCATCTTTGGATGAAAGTTCCATAAAAACCCGCTTAAAAGAACACATCGTTGATGTGAAACACCGACGCTCCGGGAAGTCTAAAGTATGTCAACATGTTTAGTATCGTCCCAACCATTATATCGGATCTGATATACAACAAATCTTTGCAATAGAACACCAGTTCCTACCAATGATGATTCGCGAGCCTTTTGAAATTAAAAAACACCCTAAATTTAAAATGCAAGATGGCTGAGTGCTATCATCTGCTAAGGACCCTATCTACACAAATAAATTAAATTGAAGTGTCTGTTTGTAATGTCAAAATAACAGCTTTTTACTAAATGTATATGAAAGTATATACGGTAGGTACTTATAACAAAAACACAATTTATAAAATTTTTGTCTGTCTGTTTGTTAATCTAATCTCCGCTAGGCTAATCTCCAAAACGGCTGGACCTGGCAGATAGCTGATGTTATAGGAAGTAACTTAGGCTATTTATATTTTAGAAAAACGATTAAGGTTCCGCGCAACATAATTAAAATCCTAAATTACACACGGGTGAAGTCACGGGGAACAGTTAGTAATTAATAAAATTAAATTCAAACCCAAGCATACTATTATTGCATTTATTGTATTCATTTCTATTTTTATTCTATTCTATTGTATTCTAAATATGATATCAGGTCGTCAAACACCTTAGTCCTCCTGTGACCATGGGTACTGTAAAGTGCCCAAAACATCGGGAATTAAAAAAAGTTTAAATTAAACGCGATAAAATCCTTAAAATTAGTTTCATTGCTTATAAATTTTATTCACAGTGAACGTGGAAATCACTACACTCATGAACGGGAGTAGAAAAATGTTCGTCTTGTTGTGGCAGTGAAAGAGAATCCGCCACCTGATATCGTCCTGTCGTAAGAGGCGATATAAGAAAACAAACAGGAGATGGGGGAGGCCTATGTTCATTTCAGTGGACTTTTGATAGGCTGACGATAATGAGTTCTACTCATTTTTGCAACCCTTAATATTTACGGTAGAGTGAAAACAAAAAATTAACATACTCGAAAATATGAATGAAATAAATACTGCATATACTATTGCCCCATGAAAAGTAAAAAAGTAGCAGCTTACATACATGTTACTATTGGGCACAGGCCGCCGAGTTTTTGGCCAAAAGTCTTTTAATAAACAAAACGACGCGTGTACAAAATTAACACGAAACTGTCTCAAAAACTAAAATTAATAACGAACCCCGCCAAAACTGAAACCTACTGCGTCCACAGCGTGAGGCGACACCAGCCAACACCAGCCGTCTGGGTTAGACATGGTTTCGCACCGAGTTAGATACAGGTCGAAAGTGGAGGGAGTGTGGATACAGTCGCGTTCTAAAGTGTAGTACTTTAGAACGCGACTGGTATTAGGCTATTGTTTTATAATATTATAGTAATTAATTGTTTTATTGTAGAATCATAATAGGTGTTTTACTAGCTACTTAGAAGTTTGGAAGCAGTTGGAATTAAAAATGGATAATGTTTACTTGAGCATTATTTGTTATTTCTATCGTAAAATATAAAGTAGTTTGTAACAAGAAAATTTAAGCTAAGGGTGACACGCCGCCCATTATGTCGTCTTGGGTCACATGGAACCCAGATGTCGATGGTGTGTTGGTGTTAGTGGATGCTACTTCATCATCTTTTTTTTTATTTTGTTTTATAAAAACGTTACCCCCACACTAGGATTTTATCCTGTGTCGTGGAGTCAGTTTACAAACATAAATTGCACAAGGACAAACATCCAGACCCGGAACAATTATTTGTAGGCCATACAAATACTTGTTCCATGCGGGATTCGAACCCGCGGCCCCCAGCGCAACAACTGATTGCTAAGCCACTGCGCCACGGAGCCGTCAAATTTTTCATCACTTTCATCTTCGCTTGAGCTTCCGTCATCAGGTCGATCACATGGTATTTTTTTTTTCGGTATTCTTCCTCAACACTTTTAACTTTACTGCACAATTTTCCCCATTCACCTTCTCCTATCATATTTACCTTTTCGTTCACTAGTTCAGTCATAAAACAATACATATAAATAAATTTTCTTTCCATTCTTTTTAAAACCATCGTCGCGAGTCACAAAGTAAGCTGTGTATGCGACTGTATTTTGGGAGCGAACAAAGCGCGGGAAGCATGAACCAATAGCATGCGGGCACAGTAATACTGGCGGATTGTTCCCCCATCACTCCCCCTTCGTACCAATCAATGATAAATCGCACAGTGCCCAGGTTCAAGACCCGCGTTCTTTTTACGTGATTGCACAGAATAAATAAGTAGTGCCGGGACGTTCGCGCGTACATTGACCTCTAGTCAGCTGGTTGCAATTCAGTAATTTCACTGCTGGTTGAATGAATAAATCTAATAAAACGTTGTGAAATTATATAATTCTTAATTTTGATGTGTATTTCTTGTACAGTCAGTAACAAAAGTTAGTTCACATTTAAAATTTTATTATCTTATATCTGAACACAATAACTTCACAAAAAACTGAGACGATGCGATCTAATGACTAAAATATGACATTTTGCGCTTGTGAAATTTGTTGTTTTTATTATTTTTGTTGCTCGCCGTACTTACTACTAGCTTAAATGAGCTAGATTTATTTTTATCTATTTTGTGACATATGGGGCAATACTGCATGAAGTTAGCTTTGTTATAGATAGATACAATACTTTGATCAAGTATGTCTAAGTCATAACTAAGCGAACAAAAAAGACAAAAGACGTGAGCAGAAGCTAAGCATGCGAAGAGCTATTGCTATTGTAGAAAAATAAAGCAAAGATAGAGAAAGATAAGTATCACTGGAAGAAATAAAATGATTGAATGAAAGGTATTAAAGATTTTATTCTTAGGCAGCAGCGCCAAATACGAAAAATGTGGCGTGAGAAGTTTAAGCTAAGACGCGAACAAGAATAAATTAGAAAGTGCATAGAAGAAATGGTAGAGTATTGATTGGTTAAGACACATTAATAGGCTTGACTTGCGTAAGCATCATATTAGTCTGTGGGCTTGACGGACGTCAATAATTACGTCAAGCCTACTCGTCATGTTTAGTGCATAAGAAAGGATTGTTAACACTTACGTGGTAAAGCCATGCTGCAACTATATTAGTGGTATAGTTGTAGCACGAATGAGTCGTTTCGACCGGGCAAGGACCACGCTCTCACAGAATACCAGTGTAAAATAGCAGCATAACGGTGCTGTGTTTCGTATGGTGAGTGTAGAGACCGGAGACCTTTTTACTGGAAACGAGGCATTCCATCTTAGTCCTCACCTCCGACGACACAACTGCATTTTGATTTGTAATCGAGGATAGATGTAGTTGTCTATGGGTCGCAGCATAAACGTAGTGGTTATATTCTCTTTGCCACATACCATCAGGTGGACTGTGTGCTCGTTTGTCACCCTTATCCATAGAGGGAGTATTCTCTCTCTACGCCCCTATCCTATAAAAAAAATTTGATACTGAGATAAATTAATGAAGACATGGCTTAAAAGACAAACATCCAAGCCTAACGTCTTAATAAAAAAAATCAATAAAACAATATTGTCTATAGCGATGCTCACAAAAATCAACATGGAATAGTATTTTGATATATCTTAAATATTCCAAAGATTACAATATTGTAAGCAAATTATTCGATAAAACTAACAATTCTTATTATAAACTTAATTAAAATGCTGCTTAGTGTTGTTGTTAACAGTGCACTTATATTTTTTTATCATGTCGGACACAATTGATTTAGAGAGGAACAATCTCTGTACAACACAAGACGCATTTGAACATTTTCAAGCAGTCTCTATGTATGAAGAAAGTGAATATATTGCTCTGCCTAACACATCAATCGCTCAGCCTGGGACTGCAGGATCGACAAATGCTTTAAAAGATTTATCATGTGACACCGAAGTCGAAATATCTTCGACAGTTGATGATCAATTGCAAAGTGTAAAAAGTACATCAATACCATGTAAAGAAACGAAAAAAGCCGTAAGGGTAAATTCGGAAAAGAAAGTGATTTGTAAGAAGTCATCAAAGTCGAATGCTAGGACAAATAAGAGAGGTAGGAAAAAGAAGAATTTGAATGGTAACAATGGGACCGACCGACCGACCGTAAATATAAGTCCTGTACCTTTATCACATACAAGTGATATTGCCGAAGATGTAGCTATGGACGAAAAAGACAGTGATATTAGAGATCACCAAGTAAGCACTACACAGGGCAATTCGGGAACTATTGAAGAAAAGATTTCAGTTAAAAATGTTTCAAAAAAAAGTATTAATAAAAGCCATAACAAGAAAAATACTGCAGGTAAAAGAGGAAGACCACGGCTTTGTGATAAGCCTATACCTGCATCTCAGAAATTCAAAAGCAATGAAAGCATAGATATAGAAGAAAACCAAAACAAAACTAAAAGTAATAAAGGCAGGCGTGGGCGACCAAAGAAATTAAGCAAAGTAATGAATACAAAATTAATACCAGAAAATATTGAAAGTGAAATACAAACTGAAAGTACTCTGGAACTTACTAAACATGCAGAATTGAATTCAGCCCCAGAAGATTTACCATTAGTAAAATTGAAAAATGAAAAATCATTAGATGAATATAATAAAGAAGTAAGTTGTGATGTTGGTAGATTACAGAAGAAAAAGTCTATTGAAAAGAATATGTCAGCAGAAAAAATGCTTAGTAACCCAGAATGTGTACCAGATTCAGTGTTAAAAGAAAGTCAGGGCATTGTGGAGAATACTTTTAGCAATAATGATGTCAACAACTTAAATGAACAAACTGAACAAACTGAAAATAAATGTAACTTAAATAATTCTAAAGAGGCTTGTGACGACAGTTTATCAAAAAATAATTTTCCCGATGATGATGAGGCAGATGATATTTGCTTAAGTAAGCTAAAAAAAACCCTTGAAACTTCCAAGACTGAAGACTTACCTGTGAGAACTGAAGAGCAACCTATAAATTCATCAGACATTAATGTGAAAGAAAATGATGTTGTAGTGAATGGTAATGCTATTAACTCTAAAATGCCAAATATAACAGGTTATGATATATATAATGATAATAACAGTATTGTTGCAAATGAGCAAATTATGAGTGATGTAGACAATGCTAAAAATGATGATCATAATCTGTCTTGCGTAGCTGAAAGTTCTAGGGGGAGACCTTTGCGTAGAAAGGGTAAAAAAACTTTACATTATGATGAAGGGTCTGATGAAGATCCTTTTGCAAATGTAGAATTATCTGATGATGATGGTGAACCTAGAAGATCTAAAAAGGGAAGGTGTTACTCTGATGATGAATATATACCGGGTAGAAAGCGTGGACGAATTTCTTCATCAGATACAACAGACAGTGATATAGACAAGAATGAAGAGGAGTTGAAAAAAACAAAAAAGAAACGTGTTAATAGTAAGAATACCAAGCAAAAGGGAAAGAAGCATAATATAGATTCACTAAGAGGTGAGACTAGTCAGTCAATGGATATGGCATTAACAGCTGATGAAAATAGTCAGAGAGAAGATGGTGTTGATGTTGGCTTAGAGAGTAAAGTTATTAGAATAGATGATGACTATTCCTCTACATCTTCTAATGTGTGGGGCACAACGCACGAGTTTGAAAACTTCTTAGCAAAAAAAATTCAAGGCACAAATTTAAAAATACAAAAGGTATCAAACATCCAACCCAGAGCAATAACTCCTTTAGAAATTCCAGTTATTGATCCAAACATGGCTAAAAAAACAGTTGAAATGAGTGCTCAAACAAATGCTATTCAAACAAAAACTGCATCAGCACAAACTAGTACACCATATGACATTCCAATGAAAAATAATGTTCCTCTTTCAGCAGAACAAGCTGAAAAGGCATGTGAATTTTTAAAAGATATTGTAAAAACAACTTCAGAACTAGGTGAATTAATGACTCAAAAATCGGAAGACTTTATTCAGAAGAAAATTAACACAAAGCATGTTACTGATACATTTAAAATGGATTACTGTGTAAGAAAATCATTTTTATTATTTAAACTTGCCAAGCATAACCTAATGCAAATGGAAGAAGATTTATCTAAACAATATGAAGAATTTTTGAAGAAAAATGATTTACTGCAATATAGGGAGGTGCCAAAAAGCATCACACCTCAAATAAGGTTGATTGATAGTGACAGTGATTGCGAAATAATAGAAGATACACAGCCTAAAAAAAATTCAAAATCCAAGGAACAGCCAAAGTTCAATCTCAAAACTGTATTTCTCAATAAAGAATTATCAATAAAAATAGCTAAAAAGCCAAATGAGGAACCAAAAGGTAAAGATAAAATTAATATCAAAGGCAAGCGTACTGTATGGCTTAATGACTCTGTGATGGTAAAAAAAGTACAACCAAAACAGTCTTTTTTAGCCCAGGACAGCCGCAATAAAAAACCCCCTGATACATATGTCACTTATAAAATGGTAAGAGATTTTTTTAAAGATTATTACCGTCAGACTGCAATATCTATTTGTGCTCCATTTATTACCACAGAATGGTTTTGCAAGAAAAAAAGTTATGTTCACTGCAATTACTTTTGTGTAAGACCATTAGAATTTAATACTAGACCTAGTTATTTTCAAAATGGTGAATCAACAAATAGCTTAGATGCCTCAGGGTCTGACATCAATACAAATGAACAATCTAGTGGCAATGTTAATGATAGAACTTATCCAAAGGCATTGCTTTCATTATGCGTTCAAGTTCTACAAAACAATCTGATTCACACCATAAACAAGCAGAGATATCAAGAAGTCTGCGATAATACTAACAATGCACATTATACGCGAGTAAACCCAGAAACATTATTTCGGCTATGTGTAAATAACATAAGATGTATATTAAGTGAAAACAACAGTAAGAAGATAGAGTCAAAATTACCAAACAGTAAGGGTGGGATAGTTGAAGAAAAAATCAACTCACTAAAAACTTTATGTTACAAAATAATTGTTAAACAAATTTTTACATCATACTCTATAAGAAATAACTGTAACATCTTGTTGACACATAAATTACCTGATAATCATAAAAGCAATACAGTTAATTCATTATTCTCACTATGTGTAAACATTGTGCAAAAAAGTCAAAAGACAGATAATAATTATAAGCATAAGTGTAATAAAGTTTATTTATATTCACCAAGTTCTTTGAAATATATAACTTTTTCTTACATATTATCCCTTATGAGAAATAGTGAGAATGACAACCACAAAAGTAATTATACAGTGATATGTAACTTAAATATTGAAGAAACTAATGGGTTATTAAACAATAATAATGAGAAATTTGCAATTGATATGCATTTTATAAAATGTAATGAAAAAAAAGAATTACTTCAAAAAAATTACAAATTGGAAAATATTCAAAATTGTAATTCTGTAAAAAATAAAATAAAAAAATTGTCGAAAATTTGTTTTGAGAAAATTTCTTTAATTTTTGGTGAAAATTACCAAAATAAAACGTTAGAGTTCAACTCCATACAAATAAATTCTGTCAACACGGTGCCAGAGGAGTTGTTTTCCAGTTTGCAAAACATTTCACCAATCTATGAAGAGGATGCTGAATGCTGTGATGTTGAAGACACAAATAGTAATGACGAGGATATATATGATGATTACAGTGAAGAAATTAATCAGTCAGAAAAATGTAAATGGGAACTAAAACAACAATTAACACTACCTACATGTCCTTTAACTAAAGCTTGTGAAAATACAAGTTTAATTCAAATACAAAAATCAAATACAGAAATTATTAGACCCGAAATATCTCAAGTGAAATCAGAACCCTTTGAAGAAGACATTCTAGAAAATGAAGAAATTCCATTTATAAAAATAGAACAAGATGAACATGACGAGGAATCTAGTTTTAGCCCACTACTTAATAATGTAGTGGCTGCAAAACAAGAAAATGTTTTTCAACCATCTAATGTGTTGACCAATGAAAGAGTAAACAATGATTATAATGAATCATTCTTAAACGAAGAAGAAGAAGGAATGTTTGATTATGATAATAGAGAAAGCTTTAATCATGAAGAAAAAGTTTTCAGTCAGAGTTCCCTTAGGGTGCGTAGACAATTTGAACCTGATTCTGACACTGAAGCTGATAATACTATGAGCTTATTGGTACCACACACATTTGAATCATTAAATATTGATAAAGTTAGAAGCTCACTTATGGAAAATAATACTTCTGATGAAGAAACAGTTACACAAAAACGAACACCGAACAAAAAAAAGATTGAAAAGCGGAAAACAAAACCAAAACCTTTACTAACCAAAAGAAATAAAGATGTTTCTAAAGAATTACCAGTGACTAATGAAGTTGATTTGTTAGCTGAAAAAATGCAGAATAAAATAAGACAAACAGAGAAAAACACACACAGTTCTGACTCTGAAACAGAAAATATTGCTTTAAGTTTAAGAAGCGATAGGAAAACAAAAAAAGATAGTATAAAAGATTCTGATTTGATAAACAAAATAATTCTGCCTGATGAAATACAGTGTACTAATGTAGATTCTACACAAAAGATAGTTGATCATGTGGAGAACATATCCAAAAATGATGATAAAAATTCAGACTGTTGCAATTTAAACAAAAATGTATTATTAGAATATAATAAATATGTTAACGATCTATATACTAGAATGAAATTATCAAGTGATTCATCAGAATTAAAAAATGATTCAAAAGTAGTGTCAAATAGTCAGTTTAATGAAGAAAATGAAGAATCAGATAGGTCATACTCACCTGCAATAAATCCTGATGAGCCCATTGAATTATTACAATGTGAACCCAATTTGTCCTTTCTTAGCAATGATGTTGATGAAGTAACTTTAACAAAAAACGATAACCAAGACGAAAGAGGTCACGATACAAATAAAACATTTAAAAATGACCCTAGCAGTAAAGATGTAAAAACTAAAAATCTTTTACCAATAAACCTTAATGAGTGGGAATGTTATCCTGTTAATATTAATGACACTAAACTGTATCAACAAGCTGTTGTGGTTTTAGAAAAATTACCAGAAGCATTTGTTGAGACATATTTCAAATATCAAGATATTCTTTGCCGAGATAAAGATGATATGGAAGTAGAAAGGTAGATTAAAAACTTAATGTTTTATTTAATTATTTACAGGGCAATATGAGATCTTTTATTGTTCTTTTCAGATTAACAAACCTACAATCATTGCATCGAACGAAATATCAAAAAGTTCCATCCAAAGCAACAGACAAGCCTAATGGTAATACTCTACGAAAATCCTTAAATTCTCGTTCAAATTCGCCATCTTTAGATATTCACCAAGATAGTGATAGCAAAGAATTAACAGCTTCTGAAGACGAGCTAGATAATGCTGATGAATTGATCCCACCTGTAAGTATTATTTTTATTGTTGGTTAAAATGTAATTTTTTTTTTCATGGCAGCTTAATGTAAATTGAAATAAACAGGAGATATAGACATTCACTAGATGGAATGACAATATGGTAAGACATGCAGAAAGTTGATGGATGCAGGTGGCTCCGGATCGTGCTTTGTGGCATTCCTTTGGGAGAGGCCTATGTCCAGCAGTGGACTTGTGAAAGGTTGTAATGACGATGATGATGGTGACAGACAATTCTTATGATTATCTAAACAGTTCGTGGTATTTTTGTAATGAATTAGATATTTTGTAGTGTAAATTTTTTGCTTGAATTAAAACTAGCAAATTTTTGTGCAATACACAAACTATATTTTTGTATATTGTTTTGCAGTCCTAACTGCCACTTGTTTTAGTCTGACTGAAGTCTGTCGGGAGTCCTAATCCCAGTTGAAGACAACATCCAAGCAAGGTTTTAGGTTTGGTTGTGTTATAATTGTCTCTGTGTCTGTGAAATTGTATCCCAGTCTACCACCAATCTTATTGAAGTGTTGCAACATATTATGATACATGATTTGGATGTGTTAGAATTAGTCAGTGCTTCCACATTTTCACGTACATTTGAGGCACAATAAATACTGCACAGATGATAGTAGTCGGAAATTGACTTGGCCTGCTCAGTTTTTTTTTTTTTTTTTTTTTTATAGGAGAGGGGGCAAACGAGCATGCGGCTCACCTGATGGTAAGTGACTACCGCCGCCCATGAACAACCGCAACACCAGGGGAATTGCAGATGCGTTGCCGGCCTTTTAAAAAGGAGTAGGCTCTTTTCTTGAAGGTCCCTAAGTCGTATCGGTCCGGAAAAATCGCTGGTGGTAAACTATTCCACAAGGAAGTTGTGCGAGGAAGAAAACATCTTCTAAATCGCACAGTGGTGGACCGCCAATCATCCAGATGGTGTGGATGGTATCGGGAGTTCTGCCGCGATGTGCGTTCGTGAAATTTGGCGGCTGGGATTAATCCGAACAATTCCTCAGAGCACTCCCCATGGTAAATGCGAAAGAAAATGCTAAGAGATGCAACATCTCTTCGCAGTGCCAATGAGTCGAGCCGATCGGAAAGGACTCGGTCGTCGACGATTCGAGCTGCTCTGCGCTGGATGCGGTCAAGTGGAAGAAGCTGGCACTGGGGAGCCCCAGCCCAGAGATGGGAACAGTATTCCATGTGAGGCCGAACCTGCGCCTTGTAAAGTTGCAGGCGTTGAGCCGGCATGAAATACTGTCCCGCTCTGCTGAGCACGCCAAGCTTTTTAGAGGCCAATTTGGCCTTCTCTTCCAAGTGACCACGAAACTGCACGCTACTCGATATGTCGACGCCGAGGATTCCGATACTGGCTGAGGCAACAAGGGGAGTACCTTGAAACTGAGGAGATACGACAAAGGGGTTCTTTTTAGCGGTAAACGCGCAAACTTGTGTCTTCTGAGGATTAAACTGGACTAGATTTAGTCGCCCCCAATCCGAGACTTTGTCCAGCAAAGACTCGACTTCAGACACAAGTTTGTTCCGGTACTCGGTGACGTTTTCCCGAGAAATATTGGCACGGCTGGTGTATAGAGCATCACCAGTGCTGTCATCTGCATAGCAATGAATGCTACCAGCTTGCAACATATCATTGATATGCAGAAGAAACAGCGTTGGTGATAGCACGCAGCCTTGTGGAACACCAGCGTTAATAGGCTTGTAGTCGGAGCATGCACCGTCTACAACGACCTTGATGCTCCGATCTGCAAGAAAGCTGGTGATCCAATTGCATAATTTCTCGGGAAGCCCATAGGAAGGGAGCTTCGAAAGAAGCGCTTTGTGCCAAACCCGATCGAAGGCCTTCGCAATGTCCAAACTAACGGCCAATGCCTCCCCCTTGGACTCTACTGCCAACGCCCATCTATGAGTTAAGTAGACCAGAAGATCACCAGCTGATCGACCCCGACGAAAACCGTACTGGCGGTCACTAATCAGCTGGTGATCCTCAAGGTACCGCATGAGGTGGCAGTTTACAACGGATTCCATTATTTTGGAGAACAAGGGGGTGATGGCGATAGGCCTGTAGTTGGACGGATCTGAGCGGTCGCCTTTTTTAGGGATCGGGTGGACAAAAGCTGTCTTCCATGATTTCGGGACTACGCCTAGGGAGTAAGAGTACCGGAAAAGACGCGTTAGAACCGGTGCCAACTCCGGAGCACACGTCCTCAGCACAATTGGGGGGATTCCGTCAGGCCCACTCGACTTGTGGATGTCAAGGGAGAGGAGTGCTCTGCGGACCGAGCGCTGTGAGAACCGCACATCCGGCATGGAGCACTCACACCGCGGGATGGTCGGCGGTGTGTTCCCCCCGTCATCAACAGTCGAGTTGGACGCAAAAAGGGAGCCTAAAAGGTCGGCCTTCTCTTTTGCGTCGTGGGCCAGTGAGTCGTCCTCCCTGTGCAGAGATGGTAGTGATGGCTTACAGAAATTCCCTTGGACAGCCTTGGCGAGAGACCAGAATGCACGGGTTCCCGAAGGAAGGCGAACTAGTTTCTCGCCAATTCTGCCTATGTGCTCTGACTTTGCCTTGGCAATAACTCTTTTGAAGGACCTGGAGGCGAAGTTATACTTCTTTTTGAGTGTGCTGGTGTTTACATCCCGAGTCACCGAAGCCGCAGCCCAGGCTTGATAACACTCCTGCTTACTGCGTAATGCAGTCTTACAGGAGCGACCAAACCAAGGCTGAGATCTGCCTCCGATGGGTACCACAGATGATGGAATAAATAGTTCCATTCCCTGTAGCACTACATCAGTGACAGAGTCAGCAACAGCGCTGGGATCATCCGGCGAGAAGCAAACCCGCCCCCATGGGTAGGAAGCAAAGAAAGACCGCATTCCGTCCCAATCCGCCGACCTGTAATGCCAAACACGGCGGCAACCTGCAGAACGCAACCGCGAGGGGAGCGTGAGTGGCACCACACTCCGGATCAGACAATGGTCCGAAGAGCCAAGAGGGGCATCGACGGAAACCTGATATCCGTCCGGATGAGAGGTCAGCAGAAGGTCCAACAGGGAAGGTGTATGATCCTCAACATCTGGAATCCGCGTAGGCGATGTAACCAGTTGTGTCAGACCATATGCCAAGGCAAAGTCATAAACAGATCTCCCCGCATGATCGGTTAAACGTGAACCAAGCCATTCGGCGTGGTGGGCGTTAAAATCGCCAAGGATCACGATCTCTGCGGATGGGACCTGTTGTAGCAAGGAATCTGTAGCCATTTGGACGTGGTCGATGAGTCGGTCTGTTTCGGCATTACCGCTATGGGACCTATAGAGGCACACGTAGACGCGCGGATGGTCGTCGCTGTCTACGCGTAGCCAAAGGATGGACAGGTCCGAACCTTCAAGACTGCCGAGGCGTCGAGAACAGATGTCCTCTCTGACATACACGCAAACTCCAGCCCGAGGCACAAAGGAGTGCTCCAATTTGTACCCCGGGTAGGAGAGATACGAAGTATCAGCCGGAGAGGACACCTGCGTCTCGGTCAGAAAGAGCAAGGCCGGCTTCGCCGTCTCAAGATGGTAGTGGACGGCGTTTAGGTTCGAGTGAAGTCCCCTGATGTTGCAGAAATTCACGGATAGCGTGGCAGGGGTCGCCTTGGTCTTGTTGCTCAGTTTGCCCCGAGCAGTTATTGTGTTGAGCGGAATTTTGCCCCCCCCAGAATACGCGGGGCAGCCTGAGCACCCACGCTCAGGAGTGGAATAGCATGGTCGTGGATGCTCAGCGAGGGATTCTCCAGGGGTACTGGTACCCTCCTGGGGTAGTTTTTGACGTAATTCCGCTACCATGTTGATGGGGGGGGGGGGAATTGGGCATCCGGTCACCTGCACTCACCAGACGAAACGCGGAAGCAGAGCTTCCACTTCACGCCGGTATTCTGTGAGGTCGTGGTACTGCTGCAAGCAAGGCTCTACCACCGTTAAATCAGTTGTAGGTTTAATAAAATCAGGCATATGATAGTTGTAGCTGTGACCTCTACAGTACTAACCATGTTTATAAATTTTTTTAGCAGTTAATAAACAAACTAGGGAAGGAAAAAGGTTCTCGAATGGCAGCCTCGTACTAACTGGTAGACGAAGTCTAGGCCGAACCCCCACGAGATGGGAGTGACGACCTGGTAAGACATGCAGGAAGTTGGTGGATGCAGGTGGCTCTGGACCGTGCTTCGCGCCATTCCTTGGGGGCCGCCTATGTTCAGCAGTAGATTTGTGAAAGGCTGTAATGATGATGAATAAATAAACTGTAAAATTCTGAGTTTATATATGTTCTTTTTAATTTTAAATTTAATCTTTAAAGGTACAGCAACAAATCTCTGAAAACTGTTTGGCGAAGAATACACTTATGGAAGAAGACAATGACAATGATTTACTACCCGATAAACCCATTAAAGAAGAACCAGAAGATATTGAAGAAAACCTAGACTTAGTGACAAAAAATAAACAAATACAGCCAAAAAAAATTAAACATAACCAAGAAATTAAAGGCATCAAAACAAAATTAGCTACAGAAGCAAAAATAAAGTTAGAAGATGAGAAACCTCAAGAACCATTAATGTTGACGGCAGATAAAGTGATGAATAAAGAACTAACATTATTAAACACACCCGTTGTAATGAGGGATGACATCAGTGATAGCCTATCTAGAAAGAGCTCTTTAAGAAATAGTTCTGTAAGTGCTTTTTTTATTTCTTTGATTTTATTATTGCCTATGTTAATTGAATCAAATAGCCTTGTGTCGACCGTGGTAATTCCCCCTGAGTTACCACACTCAACAAAAGCGACTAAGCGCTCGTAAGTAATTTTCACAGTACCCAAGCAACCTTGGTACTATCATTGTCAGCACTCGACAGTAAAGTAAAATATAGATATAAAACTTGCATGTCTTAAAATAAAAAAAATGTTGTAGCATGTGAAGTCCGCCAACACATGTCATAAAGGAGGCGAGGCACACATCATTTCATTAGTAGACAGCTGAAATATTTCCGCTTCATCACCAATATGTAGAATCTGGTTTAGTAATTTTAAAATTGTTCGCCTTTGTTTAATTGTTAGATACCGTCCTTTATGAGCGGGAGGGTGTAAGTATAATTGGGTGCGCGGTGTGTTTTCTCTCAATCCACTGAGTTCTTCTATAAATAGAAGAACAGTCAGTGGTGGAGTAAAAGGCTATGGACAGTTCAATAAGTTGATGAACAGCTAATTCCATATTAACTGTAATTATGTGATGTACTTGTGTTTTTTGTTTTCATTTCTAGTATTCCATATTATAAGCCTATGCACCTAGTTCTTATAAATTGGTTTTTAATTTTTATTCATGTAATGTCTCTGTAATCTTTTTTTAGAAAAGAGTATCTAAGAACTCTGTAAACAAAGATCGCGTAGAAGAACAAGATCATTCTTCTTCTGAGGAGGAAAAGCAATGGGTTAACACTAAAGAAAAACTTCTAAAAAGAATGGAAAAGAAGCAGGAAGATTCCAGGTACACTGCTATGTAACGTAAAATAAATAACCTGATCCCGTTTAGTGTATTAGGAACAAAATTAACAATTGCAGTTAAATTTAATACAATTTTTGAAGATTTAAGTTTAGTTTTGCTACGAAATTTACAATTTGCTTTTTTGTTCTTTTAGGGATTTATGGCAATATTATGTATGTATGTTCATTAAGCAATTTAATTTTTTTTAACTTATTTTAAGTCAGTGCTTGACGACAATCCCATCTGGTGGTAAATGGTGATGAAGCCCTGAATGGTAAATAGCATTGTCTTAGATCAACAAAAGCCTCACTCTTGGCTTGAACACACTCAATAAGGACGCGTTTTCTAATTTCGTAGCCATAGGATTCTTCTACTTAGGTGGTCTGGGTAAGTAGTTCATCCATAGCATTTACAGAGCATTGCAGGATGTACAGGCTGCTCATCTTAGTCCTCAGATGTGGCAATGTGTCTATAGGCTTCTTTGTTTGAAGTTGGTTGTTGGTGTCCTTGGCCTGCGGTAAGCATAATTAGGCAGGCAGATTGTTACTGTTATGTATTGAAAACGTTGAGGGTAAAATGGTAATAATTGTGGAAGGTAAGATCCGATCAAATGCGTTTGTTTAGAAATTTGATCTGGCGTATATCTTTTAATGACGACTGAGGAAAATTAATTGACGTGTAATTAGGCAAATGTGGTGTTTCCCGGAATTTTTATCCCAGGACTGACAATTGGAGCGAATATAAAGAATGTTTACTGTACTCTGCAAGCCGCGGATATAATTGGTATAATGTAGACAAATCCCGTGCCCATTTTCTATCACAATGCGGAAAGGAAACATATTTATTAATTGTTCCATTATTAGTGCCAGAAACAGGCCTCTGTTACTCTTGCTACCTGCGTGAAATGATTACCTACAAACGCGAGGCGCCCTCGGTATTATACAGCGCAGTCGGCGCTAGCGCGTTCTAGGCGATTGAATGTTAAAGTTTTTAACGCTGTTTGCGTAAATAGTTTTTTGTAAATACTTATTGAAATACTCGTCGACATAGTTTTTGTTTAGTCTTTAGTATATTTAACTGTAGAATAAAATAGTAAAAAAGATTTAATGTAATTTAAAAAATATATATATAAAGGGACGTCAGGGATTACTTCGACAGATGGCGTTTTGCATATCCAGTTGATATTCACTCTTAAATAATCTTCGAAATAATCAAGCCCGCCGTCATATATGTATATTACCTATCTATTTGATAAATTATAATAGCAAAACGTCGTTCCTACTATTTTTATTTCATGTCCTACATGGACTTGCAAAAACACTTTTCCGCATTCCAGCCGTATCTCACTCGAAGAAAGGCTCTTTCACATAATCAATAGTGTTTATTGTGGTGTAACAGAGTCATTATACCGCCTTCTTACCGCTAAAAATATTTTACCGCTTTGTACGAAGAAACTTCTAATTCAATCTCTTGTTCATCCTGCGTTTAATTATGCCGATGTGTGTTACTTAGATGCAGACAATTACTTAGTCAATAAATTAAATGGATGAATATCCCATAGGACAGAAATCTTAGAATTCTTAGCAGTCTTTTCAGTATCCTTACTGATGCATTGGCACCAGAGTATTTTGAAATGTAAGTTTCAATACCTGGGTTCTTCCCATAATTACAATCTTCGGTCTCATAACAATCTCGTACTGCAAATTCCTTCTCACCGTACTGGTTTTCTCTCAAATTCTTTCGCTGTTACAGCTGTACGACTCTGGAATGCGCTTCCCTTAGCAATAAGAAAATCCACAAGTGGATTTTTAAAACAAAAGTAAAAGAACGTTACTTAGGCTCATCTGACACATAAATATAAATACAATAATGTATCTTCTTTTCGTATTCAGCTAACTTAGCTGCCTATCCGTCAACGCAGATATGTTAGAATACTCTGCTGCACCCTTTTCACAACTCTGAACGATCAATGTCCTCCAGAGTATCTGAAATCCGAATTTCAATACTTGGAGATTCTCATAATTGTTCTGTCCGTTCTTCAGCTAATCTTAAGTTGCTCACTCCTTTACACCCGTCATCAGACTGAGCAAGACATCCCTCTTGATATTAAAAAAGCTCCCAACAAGTTTCTTTTTTTAAAAATCAAGTCCGTAAGCATGTGAAAAAATCATTGCAACTTTGAACTATATATACATACATATACCGGGTGTTTGTGAAACGCTCCCGAAAACGAAGACAGACGATAGTACTAACTATACCTGTTAGGCAGAGCCAAAAAAGTATCTGAATTTATTAAGCCTGCTTTTTATCAGGTGATTATAATCATAATTTACAATAAAATGCTACGGTCAGTCAAGCGGATATTAGAACAGGTGTCTCAAGTGCGCGGTCAAACATGTCGTGACCACCGACATAATAAAATCAATTTCTTAAGGCTGAAACGGCAAGCCGCTCACTTAGCGGTTATCCGCCGTAGAGTCTATATCACCCGAGGATGCCTCGTGTAGAGGCCAAACACGTGTCGTATTGTCGTCAGTGGTGTGTCTTGCCTAGTGTAGTGGTGTTGGGAGTAGCGATGCTGGGATTAGTGGTGACGGGGATAGTGTACGCAATTGAGGGAGGGCGGGAGGTGCTCTTCATACTAGGTAAGACACATCATTTTATTTTATAACGCGGATATTTGCGAAGTAAATTTTTCTAAAAGCTTTTATATAATGGATTTCCGCAAAGTAACGCCTGATTCTATTAATTATACTCAGTACTCACTTACACAATTATAAACACTTTTTCATCTTTATCTTTGATTTTGTACAATAGAAATGAAATGGTATTAAATAATTTAATAGTTAAAATCAATTGTAATCATGATCGACAGTTAATTAATCTATCAGAATTAATGTAAAAAATAATACTTTTACTTCATTTTAATTGACTTTCCGTATTTAATCTGACCAATACTTTGAATTTAAAAAGAGTTACGTCAAATTTATTAAAAATTAATTGCAAGTTTAATAGTGATTGCCGCCTCTAACTCTTATGTCACTGGCAAACTAAATTTCGGTGCAACATTGCAGCGTTGCCAACACCAATTTGTCAAATTCCCCGAAAATTCATGTCAAATTCTCCAATTTAAGGACAAAACTTTAACAGATTCCCCACAAATTCCCCTCAATTTTATTTTAAGAAATGAAACAATTTTCAACTAATTTTATAACATTTACTTTTTAACTACCATTTTTTTCTTTAAAATTAAAAAATAAAGAAATTAAAAGCATTAAATGATACACAAAAGTTGCCGAAATAAATCCGAAAATTAAATGTGGTGCAATGAAAATAAAAAAAGAAATAAAAAAGGGAGTCATTCGATATTCATAAGTAACCTAACAAAATGTTAAGAAAAGTATTTAGATTTCTTGAAAAAAGGTTCTAACTAGGCCCTGGCTATAGATTTTCAAAATCTCCGTATTTTCCCCGTAAAATAAAATAAATAAAATACCCAACAAACTTTAAATTTCCCGCAATTTTGGGAATGCCCCACATGTTGCCAAAGCTGAAATGTTTAAATTCCACAGCGCGAGGCGACACGAGGCGGCCGGGCGGTGGTAGCGCGTGTGAGCAAGGGAAGGGTAGAGTGAGTTAGGCATTGTTTCGCACCGAGCTATATACATTATACATAAAAGTTCGGAGTCCCCGAGAATATAGACCCTATTTTTAGCAGGTTTTATGATTTATTTATTTTAAATTTCACTGTTTGTTTAATGTTTAAGTATTTTCATGATTTTTCTAATGAAATTATCGTTTTATTTAGTTTTATCAATATGATGGAACGTGAATAAAGCTAATAAAATGTTGCGAAAAGATGACTTTTTTCCTCAGAATCGATTTTATTTCTCACCCACGATCAAAGGTATAGTTAATACTATCGTCTGTCTTCGTTTTCGGGAGCATTTCACAAACACCCTATATATAATATAAATTCATAAAATTACTATTTGCCGCATTTAAAGTTCAGAATATCGGTCAAAACTCGCAATATCAGTGAGTAGGTTCAGGTGCGGTTGACTGACACATCGCATGCTGGAATCGTTCAGACGAAAGTTGTTGGGAAAGTAGGGTTGGCTATAAACGTCCGGTACTTGATTTTAGTTATGTTTTCAGTTTAAGAGGCTTGCCAGGGTTTAACTTGAACCTTTTACACCGTTTTTGGATATCTGATGAATTAATTACGATAAAAATAAATTTCACTAAAAATTGCATATAACGAAACGCAAATATATCAATTTTTTTTTAAATATGGATACATCCATAAAAAAGTTAATATCACTCGGACTCTGACAATCCATTTGTGACTGAAGATGGTAAGCCAAAGCTGCGGAGGTGAGCATTTGTGCCTGCGATTAGCTACGCAAGGACGAAGTGGAGACACATCGCGAACGCACACTTCGCGGAGGCACAGCGCCGAAAGCGTTGCAGAAGTAACTTTGGGTCAATATACTGTGTAAAAAAAGTGGGCTTATGAATTTACAAAAAAAAATCTCATAAACTATACTTTTCCACTAGGGGGGAATGGGGAGGTGGGGGGCTTACCCTAACTTAAGTCCTAAATTATGATTGTTACCGTATTATTGGGACAGAAAGGTATTATGTTATGTATTGATAATGTCTTACGTGGTAGAGCCATGCTGCAACTATATTACTGGTATAATTGTAGCACGAATGAGTCGGCTCCACCAGGGAGGGACCACGTTCTCCCAGAATACCAGCCTAAAATAGCAGCTTAACGCTGCTGTGTTTCTTATGGTGAGTGTAGAGAACTGGCGACCCTTTTTACTGGTAGCGAGACATTCCATTTTAGTCCTCACGGGTGACAACGCATCTGCATTTTGATTTGTAATCGAGGATAGATGTAGATGTCTATGGGCCACAGAAACCAATTACCATCAGGTGGACTGTGTGCTTGTTTGTCACCCTTATCCTATAAAAAAAAATCTTGAGGGTAAAATTGCAATAACTGTGGAAGGCAGTTTTGATAAATAGAGTTGATTTTGCAACTTGATCTGGCGTGTATATTTTAGTTACCTTATTTGTTTGTTACGTAATGCAACTTCTCCGGCATTGATAAGGTTTTATTGAATTTGAAGAAATTGAAAGCATAATAAGTAAACAAGATGAATCTGAAGTCAGTGTTCTTTAACCATGCTGTTCGTATTCTAATATGTATCGACAAGTCAGGGCTTTAATAACTTAAATAAATTATTATTATTTATAATATGCATTCACAGTTGTATCCTGTTTTTTTTTTTTAATATTCAATAATTTAATGACTATTAAATAATATTTTACAGCATAGACGATGCCAAACGCGCCAAGCTTGTGAGTGAATTCATAGAAAAATGTGAAGCACCAGAGTCACGTAAAAGGCATGTTCGCGGTCGAGGAACGCGTTCCAGAAAGAAGTTTTGGGAGCGTCAAAAACAATTGAGGTACATAATTTTTTATTCCAATACTAATATTTTAACTGGCAGAAACAGCTGTTAGGCATTATAAATTATTATAAATAAATTTTATTGTAAATTAATGGCGAAAATAATGTAATATATAAAAATTAATATTGTTTCTTCGTATTTTATATGTACCGTTCATCAGATTGCGAAGGTTACGCGAAGGTTAATAGGTTTATTTGGTCCTTCACTGCTGGCCGTATGAGGAAGCTCAAGGTCGCTCAGCGAGCTATGGAGAGGGCTATGCTCGGAGTTTCTCTGCGTGATAAACTTAGGAATGAGGATATCCGCAGTAGAACCAGAGTGACCGACATAGCCCAACGGATTAGTAAGCTGAAGTGGCAGTGGGCCGGCCATATAGCTCGAAGAACCGACAACCGATGGGGAAGAAAGGTATTCGAGTGGCAGCCTCGTACCGGTAGGCGAAGTGTAGGGCGTCCCCCCACGAGATGGAGTGACGACTTGGTAAGACATGCAGGAAGTCGATGGATGCAGGTGGCTCAGGACCGTGTTTTGTGGCATTCTTTGGGGGAGGCCTATGTTCAGCAGTGGACTTGTGAAGGGCTGTAATGATTAAGATCTAGTGTCGCGCGTATCGTACAAAAAAATTTATTTCAAAGAAGATATATCTTTCAATTTCAATGATTGTATTATCATTCCTAATTAAACAATATAACTTCCAGATTTAAAACGATATTTCCACAATTATTTCTTCAGTGGTAGCAAAGCGCCGGGTACCAGCTAGTAAAATATTATAAAATAAAATAATGTTTGATGATAAAATAAAAGTAAAAATCCCTTTCTATATATAAAAAATTGTGTAAAATATTATTCAACCCCTTTATTTTTAACCCATTATCTATACACATAAATAAAATTAAAGTGTCTTTCTGTGATATCGAAATAACTCTTATTTTGAGCTGTCGATGTTAATTCTCATGTCATTAAAACATGAATAACCTTTATTCAGATATTTGTCCAGGCTAATTTTCGGAATGGCTGAACCGATTTCAATGAAACTTTGCGAAAAGATTGAAAACAATGCCAGTAATGATCTAGGCTATATTTTACACATAAAAACATAAATAGCTTTAATAAGAATAAGGATGTTCATACCTTAAACACTAGGAACAAACATAAGCTTGTAATGCCACTTACTAGACTCCACAGAATTGGTAATTCATTTATGGGGCAATGTATACGCTTTTACAACAAAGTCCCAGAACATGTTCTAAGTTTGTCAATAAACAAGTTTAAAAGTTTTATTAAAGAAAAACTGTACACAAACTGTAGGGTTATTATAATATCAAGAAATACATGAATGAAAATAACCCCTGGGAATAAGGTGATCGCCACCATGCTGGTTCTATGAAAATTCATTTAAAATTGTATAAACAAAATTATTGTTAATGAAATTATGTTTAAAAAAAAGTCCCGCTGGGTTTCTTGCTGGTTCTTCCCAGGACAGAGGTATTTTCCGAACCAGTGGTAAATAAAATAATGACTTTCAATAAGTATTATGTAATTATCCATATTGAATAAAAATCATTCTATTCTATTCTATCCAAAAAATTTATACATATACAGACTTAAAAAATAAACAAAGAATGGAAAAAATAAATGTATTTTTAATAACTTTAAATTACATGAACGCCAGATTAATTAGGTACATTCCTAGTACAATTGGAGCCATATGGAAATATAGACTTATAATAGGGATAACCGAAAAAATATCGATTTTGACAACAAAAGCTCAACATTGATGATTGGTGTTCATTGAACACAAAAAGTCGAAGTTCGCCAATATATTTAGAGATTTCTTGCACACATCGTATAAATGAATAGAACACCTTAAAACCATTGACTTTTTTACCAACTTTAAGATACATGTAGTTACTATATGCAGTGAGACCTTATTCAATTAAACTTCGATATATTATCGTACTCTTATTTTTATCAGACTAGCAGCCCATTGCTGGACTGGAGTGATGAGCCTCTTGCATTGTAGGAAGGATTTCCCCTAACCACCACAATTGGCAAGTCAGTTGGCGATGGTTCCAAATGTCACAAAACTTTAATACTGATCCACATCGCCAGTCTGGGTATTTTGTCTGTCTTATACTAAATCATATGACGCCATTTAAAAGAATAAAATAGAAAAGAATATTTTTTATTCAATATAGATTATTAATAATTCTTATTGATTTTTTTTTTATTTTTAGTTTTCGTTCCGCTTTAACTTGCTATCTCTGTTAATACACCTTTCGCAACATAGATGTTGCGGGTCTAAATAGCTTAGATCCGGCAGTTCTGAGATGGTTATTCTACTATTTATAGTACTAGTTACTAGTACTGCTAGTTTACGGCAAAGAGAATATAATCACTACGTTTAAGAGGCGGGACTTCCATAGTAAAAATATTTGCATGAAATTACGCCAAGTTACTCTACCAACATCAAGATATGACATTTAGTTTTGAGAAACAGTGCTGACAACATTGACGAATTACAATAGTGCTGTAAATGTCTATCCTCGAATAATTTTATCGATATAACCTTTATCGATATATTGTTTATCGATATTTTTACATAAGAAAAGTTAGATCTCTATACTGAATTATTTATGAGAAATAAAATTTTTAACGTGTGGATTGAATAAAAATGCCGATGAGGATAAGAAATCAATGTATTTTACACACAGTGATTTGTATTTATATCTCTACAATTAGGTACAAAAGTAAATAAAATGTATAAAGAAAATATAAAATAAAAAACGCACTTTTATACTAGTAATTAATTAAGTAAAAAATAAATGACGACTCCGTAGCGCAGTGGCTAAGCGTTTGGCTGCGGCATTGCAGGACCGAGGCTTCATTCCCGCACTGAACAATTGTTGCTATGCTGTAAAATAAATAGTCTGCGTCTGGATGCTTGTTTTCAACGTTAGTTTTTTTAAGGATAAAAATATTGGGTTTTTAATACTGATTGGATTAAATTGCTTTTATGTGTAACAAATACAATGTACAAATCGCTAGGCTTCTTCACAGAGGCACCTATGTACATACTATTCGCAGAGATCGTTTACTAATTGTCGCTTTCAAAATAAGTGCTCATGTTTATTGATGAATAATATAATGATTTAGTTATATAATCTAATTCTTGCCAAAATGTGACTTTAGAGGGATATTATCTTTTGCTACATGTAAATGAAACCTAATTAACATACACATAAATTGTGGAAGTTTAAAGTAAGTCCACTAAAGAAATAACAGTTCGTTTTAGTTGCGTTCATATGCAAAGTTGGTCACAAATATGTCTTAACATGTGAATCTTTTCAATTGGTGCATGTGCCAGCTATTTCACCCATTGCTTGCATCTGAAAAAATAATATAAATAAAAGCACATTATTATTGAACAAATAGAATGTTAGCAGTCAGAATTGACTTGTAGTTTCTAAGTATAGTTCGTTTCGGATTGCCAAACCATCGAACTATCAGATTTAGTGTGTTTGTATTGTGCACACAATCGTACACTATAAAAACATGTCCTACATAGATGGCTAGTCCAAAAATATACTCGCGTTGAATATCATATTATTATTAAAGTTGAAATCACCACATACCTTTCATCATCTAAGGGAAATATTGTTACGAATAGCCTTTTCTTGTTATCATTTTTTCCGCTTCTTGCACCATTTAATTGGAAAGTTTTATAATGCATATTTAATTTCTTAACAATTCTGTAAATGAACAACTGCTCCTATAGCAAAATTAAAAGCAATCTTAATTAATAAAATATATACAAATATAATTGTTTAATTTGACATTTTAACCTATTTCATTTGACAATGTCGTTAATAGACATATCACGAAAAGCATAAAGAAGAGTAACCCTCATTAAAATTTGACCCCTGTAGTACATATAATTTTTACTATGGAAGTTGCACCAGCCTGGTTTACGGCTCCGTGGCGCAGTGGCTAAGCATCAAGTTGCGGCGTTGAGGGCACGGGTTAGAACAATTATTTGTATGGCTTACAAATAATTGTTCCGTGTCTGGATGTTTGTCCTTGTGCAATTTATGTTTGTAAACTGCCTCCACGACACAGGAGAAAAAAAGAAACTATTTATCAGATGAATTTGAGACGCCCCTAAACGATAAGATTTCTAAATTGCCTTATTTTGTCACTTATAGACCAAAATTCTTATCAACATGAATGATATATTAAAATTTTCTCTTGAAGTTAAAATGCTAAAAACGTACATAAGCAATAAAAACATAACAATAATTAAAATAAACTGATTTAGAATAAGAATGACACTGTTTTCGCCTTGTACACAACTTAATAAATGAACACAAAAAATTTCAGTGTTCTGTCAAAGGAGCTTTTTGGTGAGTCTTCTGATGGTTCACCGCTACCAGGGAAGAAATTTTCACATGCATTTGGTAAAGGGCGACGCAATATAAGAAAGGTTAGCTTATTATCTGTTGTTTTAAAATACTGTAAATGTAATTTTTTTTTAAATTTTTAATGGTTTATTTAATATTAAAATGTGATTACCCACCAAGTCGAGCAAAAAAGCGGCATGGCCATACCATCCTTTTTTCGAAGCAGTTCAGGCGATTATCGACCCCCCTATAACTTCGTTGTACATAGGCTGCACTAAAAGTATCGGGAATGGAATATTTCCATTGTTCCTGTCATATTAAAATCTTTTTAATTGAAAAGTCCTTGGTTTTAAAAATCGAATAGTTACCATTTATTTATTTAAAAAAAGATTCTCGGTCTTGTCACAAGGTTTTGTCAAACTTGTTTAGTCGTTGAGAAAATGGAATTGACTCGAGAAAATTCAAGAGCGGTGATTTATTATGACTTTCGAAGTGGTTTAACACAAAAACAGTGTGTTGACCGGATGATTTCTGCATTTGGTGATGAAGCCCCGTCCAAAACCACAATTTATAGCTGGTTTGCTGAATTTCAACGTAGACGTGTCAAGCTCAGTGATGATCCCCGTCAAGGTCGTCCAAAAACTGCAGTCACCCAAGAAAACGTTGATGCTGTGCGTAAGCTGATTGAGGAAGATCGACATGTGACATACCGCGAAATTCAGGCAACTTTAGACATTGGCATGAGTCAAATACAAATAATCTTGCATGAACAATTAGGTGTAAAAAAGTTGTTTTCCCGATGGATACCGCATTCGCTCTGTGAAGAGCAAAAAGCGGCTCGAGTTACTTGGTGCGTCAGAACTCTCGAAAGATTCCACGCAGGATCCTCAAATGCTGTATACAACATCGTATCAGGTGACGAATCCTGGATATATGCGTACGAACCCGAAACAAAAAACCAGTCACGAGTTTGGGTGTTCGAAAATGAGTTAATGCCAACAAAAATTGTCGTTCACGGAGTGTTGCAAAAAAAATAGTGGCCACGTTTGTCTCCAAAACCGGCCATGTTATGACTATTCCTCTTGAGGGACAAATAACGGTTAATGCAGAATGGTATGCTAGCATTTGTTTGCCACAGGTCGTTTCTGAACTCCGTAAAGAGAACTGCAACCGCCGCATCAATGCGAGTTCTCACACCGCACACAGAACAAAAGAGTTTTTAGAGCAAGAAAACATAGAATTATTAGACCATCCGCCGTACAGCCCCGACCTAAGCCCTAATGATTTCTATACTTTCCCTAAAATAAAGAAAAATTGCATTGACAGAGATTTTCATCACCTGAAGAAGCTGTGGACGCCTACAAAACGGCCATTTTGGAGACCCCAACTTCTGAATGGAATGGTTGCTTCAATGATTGGTTCCATCGTATGGAAAAATGTGTCGAATTTCGCGGAGAATACTTCGAAAAGCAATAAATACATTTTTAAATAGTAATGTTGTGTCACTTCCTTGATTCCCGAAATTTTCAGTGCCGCCCTCGTAGATAAAACTAGAAGCCTGAATTTTCAGTAACCAAGCATGCATTGTATAAACACGGTATATTTCAAGTTTCATTAAATTTGAATCAGTAGTTTAAGAATTATAACCAGTCAAACTTTCTTAATTTTGTCACTCACTGACTGACCGATCATCAAAACTCTAAGGCACTTCTAGCAGACGTATAAGCTTCAAATTAATAATATAATCAGTGTTTAGTGTAAAAATCAAGGAAAAACTAAAATATTTTGCAATTTCGGTCCAGTTTTCTAGATACACCAACTGCATAAATAACTTTGTAATCCTATTTAAATATATAGGATTACAAGGATTACATTTGCAGTGAATGAATCAGTATACCTTTATATGTACAATATAATAGAATAATAGATGTAGATAGGTACCTAGATATAATTGTGTTCAAAGATAATTTGTAAAATGGTCAACGGAATGAAAAAGCAAGAATGGGACATTTCTTATGAAGTTGTACCAAAATTCCGCAAAGTATTAAGTAGACTAAATTGCCCGAAAATGCGTAGTTGGTATTCAAGACGTAGATGGTACCGGAGAGGAAAAAAGTAGGACTATCTACAAAAAGAAATGAGATGCCATCAAAAACAGTTCTTACCGTAAAAAGTTGTGAGATCCATGTAATACCAAGTCGGTTAATTTATTCAGTCCCTACTTAAGGGTCCTTCTGGCTCAAGTTATTACGTAATTAGCTAACCCAACAACATCTTACAGTGACCATATCAATATTAAAAATCTTTTATGTTTTAAATACATACATTGACTTGACAATCGCACTAAACAATCTAATTAAAAAAAAAATGTATTACTTGAGAGATTCATTGTGTTTTCATTTAAAAGCACAACCACATCAACAGTTCAAATACATACATATTGACACTTATTTTTTCAATTTATTTTAAGGTTATAGACAAAAAATCTTTGGCGAGGAGTACTGTGATAGCGAATATGGAAGAGTTTGAGCGCAAACGTCGCCTGATCATTCGCCAAACAAGACTGGTAAAATTCCCTTTCTTTATATTATCTTTCAATATGTCATCATATGTGGTAGAGCCACACGGCAGTGTATTAATGTGGTTGAGCACGAATAGGTTGATTCGAACAGAGACCAAAGAGACGAGCCAAAGACCACACTTGCATTGCTTGATTACTTCCAGCTGCTAAACTCCACTATCGCACATTGCGACAAAACTTATGATAACATGTACACCACCTGGTTGTTGGCGATCCACCACTGAGCGATTTACTAGAAGTTTTCTTCCTCGCCCGACTTGTTTGTAGAATCGTCTACCACCGGCGATTTTTCCGGATCGGTAAGACCTTCAAGAAACGAGCTTACTCCTTTTTAAAAAGCCCCGGCAGCGCGACTGCTATTCCCCTTTTGTTGCAGTTGTTCATGGGCGGCTGTTGACACTTACCGTCGAAAGAGGCGCATCGCGATTTGGACCCGCTCTATTTAAAAAAAATTGCAGCATAATGGTGCTGTTTTTTGTAGTGAGTGGCGAAAACCGAAAAGCCTTTTTACTGATAAAGATATATTTAATTTTAAGTCCTCAGAGATGACACGTGTATTTTGATTTAAAATCCTTCATTGCAAAAAGTGCTTGTTTCTTAAAATTTTATGTGATTTGTAAAAATCTACAATGTTACCACATTGTTAATCAGTTGTATACATTTCAGAGGAAACTGCTTGACTGCGAGGAAGGTCAGAATATTCTAGTCATAAACCAGGAAGTGTGTCTCGAATACGATTTTGAGAAACATTCCCCCGTTGTTACTATCCACCCTTTCTTTACAAAGGTCATGAAAGCTCATCAGGTATGTATAATATTGAAATAAGTTCTTCTTAATTATGTATTCAAAAATCGCGCATTTTTATTCCCTATCCTACCTTTACGTTACGATTTACTGTTACATAGTGCAATAAGACTTATCTTGAGTTCTAAATGTAAAATAATAGACTACATTCGTTCAACTGCTGGGCGATAGTATCTTCTCATGTCTGAGAGGGTTTTAAGGACAGGAAAAGCCTGCAGCGCTGCTTCAATACTCTAATAATTCATAATATAATATAATTTCTAAAATATGCCGATTTCACATGGGTTTCCTTCAATGTCCAGCATGTCGTAAGTCCGCACTAAAATAACGGTAAACAATTCCAAATAAACTACGAACATTTTCAGTGGTACTTGCGGTGAGCCGAACTTCCAATACTTGCGTACTATATGAAATATAAGATGAACGAGAACCTTAAGCTACAACAGTATTTCTGACTTATAAAAGTAAAGTTAGAGCCTATAATAAAATACACGTTCCTGTGCCTAGGACTGGAACGTGTATTTTATTATACCTACTGTAATTTATTATACCTAACAACTCATTGCTAAGCCACTGCGCCACGGAGCCATGCGACGGAGATATATGCGGTTGACGCCAGCATGTTTTATAGTACTTATTTAACATATTTTATGTGCCGTTCTCGAGAAATACATATAATATTTACAATGATTACACTGTTATACTGATATGAGTTATCAAGTAAAGTTGTATTCAAATGACGGCCACTATTCAGGAAGAAAACAGATGAATGCGTTTGTATGTTTAATGTTCAATGTTTGTCAATTAACAAGTTTAAAAATTTTATTAAACATAAATTGTATAAGAAGGGTAATAATTATCATAATATTGTGATAAATATCATTAGTACTCACTGATAAATGAAAATAACCTCTGTGAATCGCTACCATAGAGGTTCTATTATAATTCGCATAAATAATTATATACTATTATTATAATGTTGTAATAATTTATATTTAATAAAAATTTTCAATCATACTACTTTTTTATTTTGACGTTCGCAGTGCCACGGTGTGAAGTTCATGTGGGACGCTTGCTTCGAGAGCCTGGCGATGATAGAGGCGGGCCACCCCGGCGGCGGCTGCATACTAGCGCACTGCATGGGGCTCGGCAAGACTTTGCAAGTGTTGGCGTTGCTCCACACAGTATGTACATGACCGCAACGTTTAACAGTCTGACAAAACCTAACTATTAAGGTTCAAACAAAAGAAGGGCACAGTGAATACTGAATAGCATATTTGTTTTACATTTTACAAGACAGCCAAGTATAGAATTCAATATTTTTTTCAATAAATATTGTTTTAAGAAATACTGATTCGTCACACTTTCTATATTTTGGACATTTTTATATATTATTTTATAATTATTTTAAGTTTTTATCTATGTAAATATTTCTGTTTTCTTTGCTGATTATGTTGAATTTTAGTAATCGTCTCGAACTGATTAATCAACTCTTTATTATACGTACATTGTACTGTGATGTGTACATAGATACTGGTAATTATTTAAAGTTACGACAGAATAAAAAAGCATTGTGGTTTTACCCAACTATATGCTGATTCAAAGTATTTTCATCGTTCCACTTACGCTGGTATTCAGAGACAATCTCCAGTACAATGTCGCACAATGTCAAATGTGAGTCTAGATTTATCTAGATTTCAGTATAATTACCACAAAATATTGGAAGTAGTAAGTTTAAGCTTTATTTTGTAGAACTTACGTTATTTAACCAGTAGCGTTATTTGGAAGTAATCGAATAAAGGTACGTGATGCGTACTCTGTACCGTACCGTATATGTGTCTGCGTGTACAAACTGGCACACGCAGACACATATACGGGGGGTGATCATCTGAAACCATACAACAATCAATGGTTTGGAAACGAGCCTCCTCACCGACGCCGTAGAAATTCAGTGTCAAGTTCGTCGGGAAAGGTTATGGCGTCCGTTTTTTGGGACGCTGAAGGTATAATTATGATGGAATATTTGGAAAAGGGAGCCACTATTTTGGGCTCTTAATACGCAGGCAAAATATATGTACTACGAAAATTACGGTGGGCTATTAAGGAAAGCAAGAAGCGGCAAACTGCGAGCTGGAGTGCTGTTTCACCAAGATAACGCAGCGGTTCACAAAGACGCAGTAGCAATAGCTGTCATTCAAGAAACGAGATTTGAACTGCTCGAACACGCCCTATTCGCCAAATTTAGCTCTTTATCGGCTCAAGAAACACCTTCGAGGCTAGAAATTTGCAGACGATAGCGAAGTGATCAACGCTCTTGAAGTTTTTGGAATGAAGTTCTTTATCGGACGGTACGAATTTGGCGGATGGAGGCTAGGCGACAAAAAGTGTAAGATTTTTCCGTCACGACCCCTTCTGACGTAGTGTAGACGGCCTTGGCGGCTATAAGGAAGTGAGATGGAATAATATTTATCTCCCTCGAACTGTTTCTTATCTTGCCATGAAAGAAATATTATTTTATTTTAAATGACGCTTCATTTAATTGACGCTATGATTCATTTATTTGTATTTGTTAATCAATAATATAATACGTTTATCAATAATAATTTACTACGAAAGGAACTTCGTTCCAACCGAGTGTTCCACGACACTCACGCATGTTTTTTAAATTTTTTGGAGGCTCATGATAAATATATTTTTCAAGGGGAATTCTGCGTTTAGAAAAAAGATGGGATTTAGGCCATCTTTTATGCATTGGCTTGTTAGGAAAGTAGAAAAATATTTTTTTAACTATAATCACCGTGTTTAATAATCATTATCATTACTTTAGGATCATCCCTCGTACAAAGGTAACTGGTTGCTTAAAGAGGTTGTTAATCTAAATCTAATGTAATACACATAAATTGTTGCTTTTCGAGTCAGGTTGTATTGTGATGGCTCCCATGTTTCTGATACTGCATGAAAGTATAGTTGCGATTTTATTCCTTGATATGCTAGCGATAAATAGCCAGTGCCTCGGTGTTTGTGCGTATTGGTTACAACATACACATAATTGATTGCTTCTTTCCTCCTGATTGCTCGGCCCTTCATAGAATATGTATTGGCGGACCCCGGAATTCGCTACAATGCTAAGTACTTTAACAGGATAACTGTGCCCCCTCGGCTCCAATATGGCTGCGTCGATTTCAACAGGAAGGCCATTACATTAAAAACAATGTTGCCGTGTTTCATATTCTTAGGGACAAAATGAATACCAATTTGTTTAATATATTGTTTTATTAAATAATTTAATATACATGTTCTTACTTCAACAAAACAATGTCGAATACTTAATCCATCCCCTTTTATATCGCATAAGGTATTAACACATCCGCGTGTCGGCATACAACGAGTGCTGGTGTGCTGCCCGCTCTCCACTGTCCTGAACTGGGTCGATGAGATCCACAAGTGGATCGGACCTGTCACAAACAAGCTCAAGGTACGGTAGAAAGCAGTAGGCTATTTCTATTTATGTTAAAGGTAATACTATAAACAGATTATTAACGTACTTATCAGTTACCCCTACCGTTACAGCCTTTCAAAAGTCCACTATTGGACGTAGTACGTAGGCCTCCCCATACATTGCCTCATGTAGGGGACGCCGATCTATAAAAAGCTATGAAAATGGTTATTGATATGTAGAAGAAGCCTGGGGCATTAATGATAGGAAAGGGGAATATCTCATGTGAAAAAATGTAGTTGTCAAGCTAAACGTTACGAAACGAAATAAAAACTATTATTAAGGCATGTGAAGTCCGCTAACACACATTAGGGCAGCGCGGCGGACAATTGCTTGCGATAAAAGCATGTCAATAAGAAGAGGAAGCCTGCGCCCAACTGTGGGACATATTACGTAGGTTAAGCTATTTCACGTAAAGTTACGTTGTCTTACTTCTGAGAAAAAGTCTACGACCAACAGACAGGCTCTGAACTGATAACCAAAATTGTCTTACACTTTACATTATTTAAATAATAAAAATTAAATCAAAATTTTCTTTTAAGTCACGCAATTTGAAGAGGAGAATGCAGGTAATTTCCCCAGCCTAGCCATTGAATTTTTTAACTTATATTATAAAAGTACTTCAGTACTCTTTTCAAATTTATTTATAACACTTTAAATACTTAATTTCACAATAGAATTTTTGCATGCTAACTATTACTACAAAAAAATTGTATATGTATTGTTAATAAATATAATCGAAATATAATAATTTAATATTAGACTAGATACAATAGTGAATTATACCATTTTGAAATATGCATTAAAATTTATTTTAATGCAGATTTCAAAATGTTATTTTAAAATAATTCGTCAATCATGTTTCCATACAATTGAGCCTCACCAGTAGGTAAAAATTTAGCATTCAGATACAGATATATCAATTATAAAAGCTTATTTTACGCACATCGCACTAGTATTTGTTTCACGTCAACACATGCAGTGATACCGAACTCATTACAACTAAATATATTTTACGCATATTACGCTAGTATTTGTTTCATGTCAATACATGCAGTGATACCGAAGTCATTACTACTAAATATATTTTACGCACATCATACTAGTATTTGTTTCACATGCAGTGATACCGAAGTCATTACTACTAAATATATTTTCCGCACATCATACTAGTATTTGTTTCACATGCAGTGATACCGAAGTCATTACTACTAAATATATTTTACGCACATCACACTAGTATTTGTTTCACGTCAATACATGCAGCGATACCGAAGTCATTACTACTAAATATATTTTCCGCACATCATACTAGTATTTGTTTCACATGCAGTGATACCGAAATCATTACTACTAAATATTTTTTAAGCACATCATACTAGTATTTGTTTCACGTGAATACATGCAGCGATACCGAAGTCATTACTACTAAATATATTTTCCGCACATCATACTAGTATTTGTTTCACATGCAGTGATACCGAAGTCATTACTACTAAATATTTTTTACGCACATCATACTAGTATTTGTTTCACGTGAATACATGCAGCGATACCGAAGTCATTACGACTAAATATATTTGACGCACATCACACAAGTATTTGTTTCACACGCAGTGATACCGAAGTCATTACTACTAATTTTTTTTACGCACATCATACTAGTATTTGTTTCACATGCAGTGATACCGAAGTCATTACTACTAAATATATTTTCCGCACATCATACTAGTATTTGTTTCACATGCAGTGATACCGAAGACATTACTACTAAATATATTTTACGCACATCATACTAGTATTTGTTTCACGTCAATACATGCAGTGATACCGAAGTCATTACTACTAAATATATTTTCCGCACATCATACTAGTATTTGTTTCACATGCAGTGATACCGAAGTCATTACTACTAAATATATTTTCCGCACATCATACTAGTATTTGTTTCACATGCAGTGATACCGAAGTCATTACTACTAAATATATTTTCCGCACATCATACTAGTATTTGTTTCACGTTAATACATGCAGCGATACCGAAGTCATTACTACTAAATATATTTTCCGCACATCATACTAGTATTTGTTTCACATGCAGTGATACCGAAGTCATTACTACTAAATATTTTTTACGCACATCATACTAGTATTTGTTTCACGTCAATACATGCAGCGATACCGAAGTCATTACTACTAAATATATTTGACGCACATCACACTAGTATTTGTTTCACGTCAATACAATCAGTGATACCGAAGTCATTACTAGTAAATATATTTAACGCATATCACGCTAGTATTTGTTTCACGTCAATACATGCAGTGATACCGAAGACATTACTACTAAATATATTTTGCGCACATCACACTAGTATTTGTTTCACGTCAATACATGCAGCGATACCGAAGTCATTACTACTAAATATATTTTCCGCACATCATACTAGTATTTGTTTCACGTCAATACATGCAGCGATACCGAAGTCATTACTACTAAATACATTTGACGCACATCACACTAGTATTTGTTTCACTTCAATACAATCAGTTATACCGAAGTCATTACTACTAAATATATTTTACGCACACCACACTAGTATTTGTTTCACGTTAATACGTGCAGCGATACCGAAGTCATTACTACTAAATACATTTGACGCACATTACACTAGTATTTGTTTCACGTCAATACAATCAGTGATACCGAAGTCATTACTACTAAATATATTTTACGCACATCACACTAGTATTTGTTTCACGTTAATACATGCAGCGATACCGAAGTAATTACTACTAGATACATTTGACGCACATTACACTAGTATTTGTTTCACGTCAATACTATCAGTAATACCGAAGTCATTACTACTAAATATATTTTACGCACATCACACTAGTATTTGTTTCACGTTAATACATGCAGCGATACCGAAGTAATTACTACTAGATACATTTGACGCACATTACACTAGTATTTGTTTCACGTCAATACTATCAGTAATACCGAAGTCATTACTACTAAATATATTTTACGCACATCACACTAGTATTTGTTTCACGTTAATACATGCAGCGATACCGAAGTAATTACTACTAGATACATTTGACGCACATTACACTAGTATTTGTTTCACGTCAATACTATCAGTGATACCGAAGTCATTACTACTAAATATATTTTACGCACATTACACTAGTATTTGTTTCACGTCAATATTTTTTTAAAACATGCTATAGCAGTCATATTATTTATTGCTTATTTATCAACTCTGTTAAAATAAAATATTATAGTAAATGAAAAATCAATGGAATTCTTTCATTAGTTGTTATGGTGTACATAAATGTAAAATAAAGTAAAAAAAATAATATAGTTTTATTTAAAAAAAACAAACATAATTGGGTACTACTTTCGAAAATAAAATCTAAATGGCCATGAGTTCTGCAAAGGTTATCTATTAATTACTAGATACACGATATAACATTTTGAACTCTATTGCATTGTATGTTTAGTGTGCTTAAAATAATAATTAGATGTTTATTTAATTAATTGGTTATGAAATAAAAACTTAATTCATTGAATAAATAAATCTATATTAATTGTGTTTTTTATTCAGGTAGACTGTGTGCTCTCTTGTCACCCTTATTGTATAAAAAAAATCTATCGGAGCTGTTTACTGAAGGTGTTAAAAGTTCCATCATCTAGTTTTCCCGTGTGTGGAATATCTTGTGACCTGCGATTGATATAATCATCTTGTATCTAGACTAGACATTCAAGTAAATACACAAATAATGTCCCCGCCCGTCGTATACGTTGACTGGAATATAGGAGGATTTCGTGGCCTGATATCTGATAGTGCAAAATATATTCGACGACAAGAAACAGCATCAAAGGTGCATGTCGTATGTCGACATGTCGATGTCTGTTACTGCAATCGCTAATTTGAGCGTGACGATTACGGCAAATATTTTCTGCTCTTAAGCCGGCAATACATGTTTGCCAAGCCTCAGCCAACGCGAGCGTAGGCAAATTCATACAAGGCGTGTGCTACAGTCTACATATTGGTCAAGTTTGATAGAGTGAGTATACTGACATGGCCAACTACAATGTGGACGCGACTTGCCGAGTGCAGGCGAGCCTTTGTTTTGTGCAGAAAAACCGACACTGTTCGAAAGTGAACGAGTAGTAGCGAGCGATCCCGAGTGGTGGAAAGGCACGCCAAACGAACCGTATACACGTTGGTTCTTACCTGCACAAAATGACGCACAAATGGCGAGGCTAGGCAAATGTTCTGTCCAGATTTAAATTTTTTATAATTTTAAAAATGTTTGAACCATCTTTTGAATAACGTTGCTACACAAATTTAATGAACCTTTTATTATGATAGGTATTTGAGTTATCGAAGCTAAAGAAGACTTATGAAAGAGCATATCAACTTGAAGACTGGTACAATGGAGGCGGTATCTTCATTATCGGTTACGAGCTATTCCGAAATTTGTCAACGTTGGATCCTGTATTGGATGGAATTCGCCCAACAATAGTCAACAAAATTCGGATGGCCCTGTTGGACCCGGGCCCGGACATCATAGTTTGTGACGAAGGCCATCTCCTAAAGAACGACAGTTCAGTGCTCGCGGTCGCTATGAGCAGAGTTGCGACCAAACGCCGCATCGTTCTCACCGGGACCCCAATGCAGAATAATCTCAGAGAATATTATTGTATGGTGAATTTTGTCAAACCCAATCTGCTCGGAAGCTATTCGGAATATTCCAACAGGTAATGTAAATTCGTTTTTGTTATTTTATATTTTTTCGGTCTTTATTTAAAACTTTGTCAAAAACAGATATTGCTCTGTATGTATGTATACGAACATATCTTTTTAATTTTGATTCTTACCTGAGGACAGATGTAGATGTATTTATTATGTAGCATTAATAACAAACAAACACACGCACACACGCACACACGCACGCACACACACACACACACACACACACACACACACACACACACACACACACACACACACACACACACACACACACACACACACACACACACACACACACACACACACACACACACACGCGCGCGCGCGCGCGCAACACGCGCGCGCAACACCCATTGCATTTACGCGACATAAATATTATACAAGATATTATAATTCATTCGGAGCGATTTAATGTAATTTAATTTAATTAATTAGGTATAAAAATTTAATCGTTTGTTTCACATATTTTAATTCTCGCAAACTTGCTTATTAAAATCTATAGGGCATTATGCAAGCAAGATAAGTGAAGGAAATAATTTGAAAGTAGTTAACTTGTAGTTAAATCAAATAAAAAAAGTTTGCGCTAAGGAACATACATTTGCAGTTGGAGCATTGACTAATGTATGTGAGAACATTTTGTCCACTGCAAAGTTAATTTTGTCTTTCAATGCGGCTTATGTTTTGGTTAGAGCAATTTTCAGTGCTTTCCTAACTTAATGAACATTACAGCGTATTAAAAGTCCACTGCTGAACATAGGCTTGCCTTATTTGCCGACAGGTTGGCAACCGCAGTTTTATTATTTTGAGTTGCTATCAGGAATACGCTGCTGTTTATCTCTTGTTTAATTTCCCCATGTCGCATCTTACGGGACAATATGGGGTAGCTCTTACGTCGCACTGATAATTAAGTTTCTATACAACTCTCATGGCGCGAGTTCTACTCGCACTTGTCCGATTCCCTTCTTAATGAAGGTACGCAATTTAGGGGGTTATATGTTCTAAACTTTTTAAAGGCCTTATAAATTTTTACACTATCACGTAGTTCTATTGGTAGTGGCGATTCCTGGAAATCTTCAACAGAAGAGACTTGTCCAGAAAACTGTTTTAGGTTTGTTGAGGAGGAGTGGATCTCTATAGAATCATACAGTTTATACGCTACTTTATAAATTATTCTTATTAGAATTCTGTAAATGTTATTAGGTGGCAGGATTCTTTTTGTCTCTGTCTAGGAGACTGGTGGGTAGATAAATGTGCTTGCACTGTTGTTTGCTGTGTTCTGGTATGAAAGGCATGGAGAGCGAGTATAGTTAGGGTGTCAGTAGGCATTCAGTCTTAGTCCTCAAAAGTGACAACTGTGTCAGTGACCTTATTTGTTTGAAGTTGGCTGCTGCTGTCCACAGACTGCAATAGCCACTGTCCAGCACCATTATATATTGTTACGAGCTTGGGGTTCGAGACAATTTAAAACTGCCGATTGAATTACCAAAATTGACACTTTAATTACACAACACTAATTACAATCTTAAACCACACTAATAATAAAACACAATTGTACTACTGATCACTTTAGTTCGCAGTTATTTCGCTTCGAATTATTCTCTTGTATCGCCAATTCAATACTGACTCGGTCGTGGTCTATACCGGCCTTATATAGGGCCTCAGATAGTTTCCAGAACCTTCTACTGTAGAAACATCTAGTATGTTCGAGTACATATCGGTCCCGAAATTTCTAGAACGATCTTGACTCTCCTAGTTCTGCTACTCGATACTACAGGGCGCTAGTGGTAACTAGTGTTGCCATGTACAAGACATTAATAGTGGCGCGCAACAATATTATAAAAAATGTAATGTCAGATAACAATTACTTTTATCACTCAACGGTTTTAATATTTTGATAGATTCGAGAACCCAATTATGAACGGCCAACACCGTGATTCAAGAGAGGAGGATATTAAATTAATGAAAGCGAGGACGCACATCTTGCACAAGGTGTTAGAAGGTTGCTTACAACGTCAAGAGGCGTCGGTACTATATCCGTACCTCCCCAAGAAACACGAATACACCGTGTTCATACCTTTGACGAAATGTCAAAGCGATCTGTACAAGCATTATTTAACGCATTACACAAAGGTGGCCAAGCAGAGTACATTGAGAGATTTCCACATACTGCAGAAGATATGGACTCACCCGCAAGTGCTGCATAACTTCCAAATGAAATCGCGGGAAGATAATAATAGCAAAATTAAAGGTAACAATATGCTTGTCGCTCATATTTCACACATTTTAAAATTAGCGAGAGTCCTAATTATTTGTTATTTTATTATTAAACCATACATTGAGTAAGAACAAAACAAAAGTGAAAATTTATATGGTAGGAATCCTTTTCTTCTGATTGAAAAAAGAAAAAGTATTTAGTTTTTTTTTATAGTATAGGGTGACAAACGAGCACACAGTCCACCTGATGGTAAGTGGCTGCTGTGGCCCATAGACATCTATATTTTTCCTCGTTTGCGAATCAAAATGCAGATGCGTTGTCTGTAACCCTTGATAACTAAGCTGAAATGTCTCGTTTCCAGTAAAAAGAGTCTCCGGTTCTCTACACTCACCATACGAAACACAGCAGCGTTAAGCTGCTATTTTATGTTGGTATTCTGTAAGAGCGTGGTTCTTCCCCGGTCGAATCGACCCATTCGTGCTACAACTATACTACTAATATAGCTGCAGCATGGCTCTACCACGTATTACACCTGTGTCGCTGTTTTCTGTCATCGGTCTGGGTACTTTACACCTAAATGACATGGTGGACCATCTATCGTAAGCCATGAGATCGTTCTGGCTTATGCCATAGTCGCCTTTTATGAAACCCACAGGACAAGATGGGCTGTGGAATCTCTTGATCCGCCATAACACGGCACTGATGTGGTCTTGATCATAGTATAGTCATACAATGTGGCAATAGAAGTTTTAACGCTGATATATAAAAAAAGGACTATACTATTTTTTTTTTGGATTATAATTACAGTGGAGAAGATAGAAGATGACCTGGCAAATGAAGATTTGACGGCCACAGAGGACATAAAGCCGGCGCAAACGGAGGTCTGGTGGCTGCAGTACTTGGAAGGGGGCAATATGCTCGACTCGTTGGAGAGCTCCAACAAATTGCTTGCTGTCTTCCATATACTTGCCGAGTGCCTTGCTCTAGGAGATAAAGTGTGAGTGATTTTTCATCAAAAAATGTTACCTATCTTCTTCTTTCTCATGAAGATTTTTAAGTTTTAAAATCTCGATCCGTTTTTATCTTTAAGCTCTACCATTTGAAGAAATTTAAAACAACGTAATTAGAGCGTTTTTTTATTGGCCGATACCAATAACGATATAACGTCACTAACATACCTCACTGACACCAATATGAACCTATCTAGAATGGAAGCCTTTTAATATATTTTTCATTCCGATCATAGTAAATTAATTTTCACAATTTTTATATAAAAAATTCTGCAAAGAAACACTAAATATTCTGGCAACCAAGGCTATGAACTGGCATTTTTACTTAATGGTTTAATAATGTTTTGCCGTCAGATAGCGGTATAATAAAATCCATTGCCACAACTCAGTCCTCTAAATGGAGGCGACGTCTTCTCCTTTATTATGCAAATGGGATCATGAGGAAATTTTGGTAATATTGTGACCTCTTCAACATTAAATGTGGTGATTGCAGCAAATCTGAGTTGGTCAAATACTTATCCTTATTTTTAACGGTAAGCTGTACATTGACCAAGCTTGAAATTCCTTGGCCGCGCCTATTACCTATGTAAATCGGGAAGTTAATAGTTAATATGTCGCCTTTTATGACACCTAAGAGATAATGTGAGAAGAGGGTAGTGGCTTTTCTTACGTTAACCACTACAGGACTAGAACAAGAGATGAGCAGAAACATTTTCGTAATAAGATCTTAACAATAAATCAAAAAAGAACTGTGGTTGCCAACCCGCCGATCAAGCGTGACTACTAAGGCAAATATTTGCCTTAGTAGTCACGCTTGATCTTTAGCTATTAGCTATATAGCTATGGCCTATGGGGCTCTGCGCCGCCGCGACATCAGAGGTCGCCGCGTGCGGCGTATATATCGTTTCCAAGCTGTTATAATTTACTTAAAAAAAAGTTCCTATGGGTTTCTTGTCCGTTCTATCCATTATCCATTTTTTTCGGAACCAGTGGTAAAGTACAAAAAATTACTTTCGATAAGAATAAAAAAATATTCTATTCTATAGCCCAAATATTTCGTAGCTTTCTGTCATTCGGAAGGGTCATGTTATGTTGTTTTTTTTTGTTTCAGCCTGTTGTTTTCGACGTCTCTGTTTACAATGGACACCCTAGAGTATTTCCTGAAACGCATTAACAACTGGAGCTTAGGACGAGAGTACTACCGGTTGGACGGCTCTGTGCCCGCCGAGGTGCGCCAGAAGTGGTGCCGCGAGTTCAACGCAGACAGCAACCAGATAACCAAGTGAGATTCCTTCCTTCCTTTATTTATCACTAAACAAATTCAAAATCTTAAAGTACGTGTTCAACTAACACTAGAATGGGTTTTTACATGAACTATAAACTAACTACAAACTACGCATCTTGAGTCGCTCATGAGCCGACTCTCTCTCTCTCGCCGACTCGACGATGAACTAGATGAACGAATAAAAATAGTAAAGATTATTTTTACCGAGCTGATTCTTCCATGTTTGTTTGTCACGTCTTCTTCTTCTTCTTTACGGCTTCTCTTATAAGAATTCTGCCAATGTCAAGTCAGTCATGGGAGTGACAACAAGGTAAATAAATCTTTTTTTTTTTATAATTTTTTTTGTGAATTGCTTCTAATCTACAACAAAAAACAACACAAACATTTATAATTCTACCACCAACAATGATTAGTTTTATGTTACAACTTAATACTATTAGTATAAATAAAATCACATAAAATATGAACAAATGAGGAGAACACGAGAGACAGCAGACAGGTAGAGTTAGTAGGACGAGGGATGTTTTGAGGAAGGATATCATACAAGGAGAACTTGAGTCGAGGACATTCGAAAAATATGTGATCGGTTGAACCTTCATCAAGACCACATTCACATCAAGAATTATCCCTTATCCTTAATTTGGCTAGGTGTACCGGTGTGCAAGAATGACCAAAGCGAAGACGGCAAATGGTTGATGTAGTAAATTTGTTAGCTTTACGATAATGGAAAAACCAAGGTTTGTATGGGATTGTGTTTTGAACCCGAGCGTAGTGTTTACATTTTATGGTTTTAGTTTGGTCCCAGAGACCTTGCCAAGATGCCATGAAGTCAGATCCTGCTAGTGGAAGCAAACATATAACATAAATACTCACGCCTGTCACCCAGAGGGGTAGGCAGAGACTACGGACTTCCATTTGGCGCGATCCTGACACACCTCTCTCGCCTCTTTTACATCCATATATCTACGCATACACGCTCGTCGGTTAAGGGTACTCCTAATCTGGCCCATTTTTAATGTATCGCCGATTTGGTCGATAAACCTTCGTCTAGGGCGTCCCTTCCCGACCCTGCCTGGAAGCAAGTCATGGGGGAAAATTTGATACTGAGAGACCTGTTCGTGTTGCTTTCTTAGCCAAGAAATCAGCAAACTCATTACCACGTATCTCAGAATGGCCTGGAATCCAAGCCAAAACAACTTTTAGGCCTTTTTTGTGACAATTATATAATGCTTTTTTAATAAAGAGGATAGGGAAAAGATTTTATTTAGAGTGGAAGGTGCTGGAGATAATGGCTTGGAGACAGCTAAGAGAGTCAGAGAGAATTAAGGTATTTACCAGGTTGTGAGATTCGGCATATAGAATTGCCTCTAAGATGGCAATAGATTCACCTGTGAAAACTGATGATTCAGGTGGGCACTTAAAATTTAATATTATTCTATATTTAAGGATCCAAACTGCAGAACCTACACAATCTTTGTTAGAAGTTTTTGAAGCATCTGTGTACATAATGATCCAGTCTTGCCAATTTTCTGAGATGATTTTCTTTAATTTGCTGTTAGGATGAATGGTTTTCTTGTCAAGTCCAAAGTCAAGGATGACGTTTGGATTGAAAACTAGTGCTTCGTAGGGAGTGGAGAAGAGTAAGTTGTTGCTATTTTGGAAGATTGGAGATTGAATGTTTACAAACTTTATATAGCTTTTTAAAAGACATGGTATACCTTTATGTCGCCAGTATGGGGAAATTGAAATTTGTTGGTGAAGTGAGTTTAGTATATAGAACAGCAGATGGTTATGAAGAAAACACTTTTTGAACCAGAATTTGTCTGCTAGATACTGCCTGCGAAGAAAGAGAGGACCTTCACCACACTCGACCTGGAGAGCGTTAGTGGGGGTAGATTTCATTTCTCCTGTTATAATGCGAAGGCATTTTACTTGAATTTGATCCAAAGTTTTAAGCGCACTTTTATTGCATGGCTCCCACAAAAAGGAAGCATAGTCAAAATGGCTTCTAATCAAAGCATTATATAAAAGCTCTTGGGAGTAAGGATGAGAGCCCTACCAAGCTCCTGATATAGCGCGAATGACGTTAAGATTTTTTTCGCATTTTGAAACTATGTAGGATATGTGGGGAATTCCAGACAATTTGCTATCTAGCATAACACCGAGGAATTTCACATGGCTCACATTGGGAATCAATGAGTCTCCAATAGAGATTTACACTTCTGGGATGAGTCTTCGCCTCGAAAATACCACGTTTTTACTTTTTGGGGGGGAGATGGATAAACCATGTTCTGTAAGCCATTCTTGGAGGTAATATACTGCACGAGATAATCGAGAAGAGGCGTCAGGCAAAGAATGATCAGTAACAAAAAGAGCCAAATCGTCAGCATATTAGAGTATGTTGGACAGACAGTTTACGGATCTATCTAGATCGTGGGTATATAGGTTATACAGAAGGGGACTTAGAACAGAGCCTTGTGGAAGACCATTCCAGATGTATCTCTCTGGCATGAAATTACCCTCTACGCGCACTAGAACACGTCTTCCTGAATAAAGGTTTGACACAAAGTTCGTTATCCTCACAGGGATGCTCAGCTGATGCATCTTATGCTTGAGCAGCGGAAGTATAACATTATCGTAAGCTGTGCAAACATCCAAGAAGACACCTACAAGGAAGTTGTTTTGGGAAAATGCAAGTCTGACATTGGAAATCAAAAGGCTGAGGCTGCCAGAGGTACTCAAACCCTTTCTAAAACCAAACTGGCTTTTAGGCAAGATGCCTCTATTTTCTAGTAACCACTCTAGGCGGTTTCTTACGAGGTGCTCCATTATCTTTGATAGAGTGGATGAAACGGCTATTGGACGGTAAGTAGTGGCTGTAGAGGGGTCTTTTCCAGTTTTAAGGATAGGTATTATGATATGGGTTTTCCAGTCATCAGGAACTGCCCCTGTTGAATATATACAGTGGATTATGTCTAGGAAATATTTTTTGGATGTGGGGCCCATGTGAGTTAAAAGAGAGTACGGGATCCCATCGATACCTGGACAGGAGTCCTTCAGATGGTTCAACACCAACTGAAGCTCTGTGAGGGAGAAGGTATCATTCATAGATTCATAAAAAAGATGGGGAGGTGGGGAGGTTACTGGGAATATCTCCTCTAAGGAAGGGACCCATGGAGGAGACAAGCTGCTACAGAAGTTGTCTATCGAAAGTGAGGGGTCAGGATTATTTATTTGGCTATCATTGAGAGAACCACAAAATCGCTTTATGTTTTTCCAAACAAGGGAGGCTGGAGAGCGAGGTGACAGACTCTCACAGAATAAAAGCCATGCTTTTTTCTTCTTCTCCGAGAATGTTTTTTTGGCTTGAGCAGCTATTTTTTTATAATTTATAAAGTTATCCATGGACATATTTCCAGAGTACTGTTGTTCAGCAACTTTGCATTTTTAACAATAGAAGAGCACTCTGCGTCCCACCAAGGAGGTGAGGAAATTTTGTTAATGGAGCTATTTTTAAGGGGGATAGATTTTGTAGCAGATTCATTTAAAAGGGAGATAAAATCAGAGTAGGCATGTTGTAATTTAATGTGAGACACTGGAAGGAGAGAATGAGCTTTAGTTTCTATATCAGAAAGATATACATCCCAGTTGGCTTTGGACACGTTAAACTTCGAGATGCATGATTTATTCCTAGTGGGGCTTCTACTGGACAAAGAGAAAAGGATGGGGAAGTGGTCACTACCAAAGGTGGACGATAGAGTGTTCCAATTGATACTTGCAGCTAAATTAGCAGAGCAGAGGGATAGATCTACAACAGAATTAGGACTTTGGGAAGGGTAGACCATGCAGGTGGGAGACCCATTATTCAAAATGCAAAGGTTAAACTCATTAAAGACATCTATTAAAAGATAGGAGAAAGAATCATTTTTATGAGATACCCCACAGTACATTGTGACTATTGAAGTCCCCAATTACAATAAAAGGAGCAGATATGCTAGACAGGATTAAGTTAAGCTCTGGGATACAGGCAGGAGTAGGATTGGATATATATATTGACACAATTGTGATGTCCATCACTTTTACAGCTGTTGCATTAATATTCTCTTGCAGAGGTGGAAGCGGGATTGAGCAAGAGGTAAGATTTCTATTTAGAAGAATCATAGTGCCACCGTAGCCATCGCTGCGGTCGTCACGGATACACGAAAAACCAGGGATTCTGAATCTGAGACCAGGTCTTAGCCAGGTTTCCGCAATAGCAATGACTGAGGGGTTATGAGTATTTATCAAATTAGTTAGTTCAGATTTCTTGTTCTTGATGCTCCGACAGTTCCACTGCAGGATGTGGAGGCGATTGAATTTTATAAAGAGCAATGGCAGAAAAATAGTTGACAAAAATTATAGCGTCTAGAAATAAGTTATATATAAAATGAGTTTTATTAATTTTCTATGATTTTTCAAATAAAAATGTATTTTAATTAAAGCCACAGAAAATAACAAACATTTTTGGGAATATCAAATGACTTATATCATTTTACTCTATTCAAATTTTGCCATTTAGTATATTCATACTATTTTCGTATACACTTTGTAACACTACCAACACAACACACAAAATATTTTTATATTAGGTTATTATTAGTAATAACTGTACTATCAGTAATAACAAAAATAAAAGTGATATGGCTGAGAATAAGTCTCTTACAAAGAATTTCCTACAATAATACATTATCTCAATCATAGTACTATGTAACAATTCCATTTAATGTTATGCCAACACTAGCTAATATAAAATGTCACTGTATTTTTTACTGGCTTTACGGATCTGGGTTCTAGCCCTTCTGAGAATGTCACTATGGTACAAAAGCCCTGGAGCCATTCCAGAAATATACATTTATAGTATGCAAATATATAATAGAGATACAATAATCTAAAAACTCTCAATTATGTATTATGTATTAAGCTAACATCAAACAACCACAGGAAGCATGACTTTTTCCAAGTGACATAGGACATAACCTAAGAAGGTTCAAATGTAAATATCTTTTTTTTGACGCCTTCTCAGTACAAAATTCTTTGACAGAGTTATTAAGGGACTGACGCTTAATTTTAAGATATTTTTGGTATATAGACGCTACCATTTCTTCTCAACTAATTTTATGTATGAAAGTCTGCCATTGCTCTTTTTTGGAAGAGCATGTCAAGTTTATTTCTCACGTTAAACGGTAGGTGTATGACGTCAAATTTGCCAATTATGTCAGAGATGGAGGACACAAGGTTTTCCAGGAGATTATCATTAGGGGATAAATTAGCTTGAAGAGCATGACCATTTGGAAGGGAAGAGGTAGGGGTTCTTGCAATATTGTTGTATGCTACCTTATCATAGCCTACCGAATTTGGAACAGTTCTAGTTGGGTTAATTCTGAAAACAGTCTTTCTATAAGATTGAGAAGCATGAGGAGCAGGGTGAGTACTTGATAACTGTTGTGATGAAGTGGGTGGGCAAGGAATCCTTAAAGATGCAGCTACACCAGCGTAAGGTCTTTAACTGCAGGGAATCGAGCAGATGCCTCTAAATATGAAATATTTTCTTGGGACATAACCAGTTTAATGCCTTTTTGTCTAGTATGTTCAGGGCAACTTTTATCAGTTGCCAAGTGATTAGCAGAGCAGAACAGGCATGTTGGGATATCTGTAACGCAATTATCTCCAGTGTGTTCTTTTGAGCATTGGAAACAGCGTGGCTTTGATCTGCACTGAGCCTTTACATGTCCAAAGCGACAACACTTCAGACACTGTATGGAAGGGAGTATATAGGTTTCGACAGGAATTGAGGTGTAAAAGCAGTATAAGTAAGAAGGAAGCTCTTGGCCTGAAAATGTAAGGACAACAGTTTGGGTGGCCACCCACTCAATATCATCGCCTTTCTTTACTTTTCGGTGTAATCTCCTAGCCTTTATAATTTCTCCTCTACCTGGGGGAAGTTCCGACTCACACACCAACTCCTCCATGGAAATATTCGTTGGTATGCCTATAACAACACCCATTCTGGTAACATTGAAGGTTGGAATGACTGCTGATAGTTTATATTTAGCAAGAAAGGATGATTCGATAAAATTATTGGCATCTGTAGCAGTTTTAAAAGCTATTCAGACCCTGTTACGACCTAAATTTGTTATGCTTTGTTTTTCAATATTGGAAACCTTGTTTTGGGATAGGATATGGCCGATCTTGACAGGTCGGATTGTATAACCAGATGAAGGATCAGGTTCTATACGCTTAAGGTGAATTGTAAAAGGCCCTTTATCACTATCTGTGTATTTTTTCTTTTCTAGAAAATCAGGGTGGGTGTAAATGTTTTGATATGACGCTGAAGGCGTGTCATCATGACCAACTTTTTTTTTTATGAATGCTTGATGTTATATCCGTACATTTTCGTTTAGAGGAACCGAAACCAGATGGATTGTCTTTATCCGGTGGTTCCGAATCCACCCCGTCAACGACATCGTGTTAGTTAAGAATACATAAATTAAACTATCGCTACTTACCAACAAATACGTAATGAACAACACAACACAAATTTATATAATAACAAACACAGCAGACGGCAAAGATATTAACGAAGTTCAACACAAAAATATATCCGAAAATCGCTGAAATACGTGTGACTACCAATCACTCTGACAGCAGAATCTTTGTCACTTTAGCTTTATAAAAAACGCTTATGCATCTTTGTAGTACAAACATATTCTCTTTAAGTTTAGAACAAACTAAAGCCAAATCAAGTATATATATAACATACTTTGTTTTGGTCGTAACTTACGTTACCAATATCAAGTAGCGATCACCATAACAAAGCGTTTAAACTTGAGTTGTTGTTTTGATTCAAAAATATTTAGAAAACGTGTAGAAACTTGAAAGAACTATCATGGATATACATTGTTTTGCCACTAAAAATGATGTAATACGACATTAAGCACTATTGAAAGTTCAAAAGTTACCGCCACACTTTTCTTTTTTGTGTTTTGTACTACCTAATTTTACAGTGGATTTTGTGTGTGTATTTACTTATTAAATTATATTTTATTCATTCTCCATAATGAATAAAAATAGTTGCACATGTAAAATGCTTGAGACCGTGGTTCAAAATCAACAAGGGTAACCATTTTAATTAAATTTAAATTACTGTGAGAGCTAAACAACGTATACATGATAAACGTTTTTTTGGTACTTATGATTAATCAATTTGCTTAGTATATTATCAAAAACAAAAAAACGTATACAAAACGTGTATAAAACCTTAATCATATAATTAAAGTTATTAAATTCTTATAGACTAGTTAGTTTAATAAATAAAGTTTTGAACAAAACAATTGATAGGTCTATTTATTTTATATTCAATAATAGAAGGTTGAAATAGGAGACATTCCTTCTTAGCCGTAGTTTCTTCGTAGTTCTTAGCCGGCGAATTCTCATAATCTTTAATCAATTTATTAAAAAATGCTGGTTGTAAGAGGAACACATCACCTATTTCCCCAAATACAAACCTCACAATGCTCAAGAACCTTGCTGATTGATAGATGTAGCACCCATAAGTTTAATTGCTTCATAAATAGTTTTGCATAAAATCTCATCAAAATATTGAATCCAAATTTCACTGATTTTATTAATTCGGGTACTTTGCAAATTATAAATCTGCCTTTGTACGTCCCCTATTTGGATATTGAACTTGTCTCATTTCTCGGGAATTTGAAACAGGAAAGAGTTCTCCATGCTGTCTTAATATATGACTACATATTTCCTCGAAATTTGTTTTAATTTCTCAAACATGGTTTAAGACATTATTATTTCAATGTTGTGATACGATGACAATCATTATTTTATCTTCTCTGCAATTTTCTTTTCAGATTATTCCTTATATCAACTCGGGCTGGCTCGCTGGGGCTCAACATGACAGCAGCTAACCGTGTCATTATTCTTGATACTTCATGGAACCCCGCACACGACATACAGAGTATCTTTCGAGTTTACCGATTTGGGCAGAAGAAGGACTGCTATATATATAGGCTGGTCGCTTTGGTAAGTACAAAACAGATTATTTATTTTGATGACCACTTCTTCCTATAGTCTGCGTTGTAGCATGGTGCGGATGACGGGTTGAGAGGTCACTAGAACGTAACTTATTTTTTTTTATTGGATCGGGTGACAAACGAGCACACAGTCCACCTGATGGTAAGTGGTTACTGTGACTCATAGACATCTATATCTATCTCAATAAAGACTCAAGATGCAGATGCGTTGTCACCCGTGAGGACGAAGATAGAATGCCTCTTTGCCAGTAAAAAGGGGTCTCCGGTTCTCTACACTCACCATACGAAACACAGCAGCGTTAAGCTGCTATTTTACGCTGGTTTTCTGTGAGAGCGTGGTCCTACCCCGGTCGAGCCGACCCATTCGTGCTACAACCATAATATAGCTGCATCATGAATCTACTTAATTATGAGAAAATAACACTGAATTTGTTTCTATAAATTTTATCTATTCTGTTATGACTATTAGATTAACATTAACATCAAAAATCTCACCTAATGTAGACTACATTTTACTAATAAAATTATAAATGTTAAATAAATAATTTATTTCACTTGTGTGTGCTGTTAGGTACCATGCTTACTAAGGGTAATTTTTTTTAATTATTAGAGATGTCTCATAATCGGACGTAAAAACTGTCAAGCTAATAAATAAGTAAGATAATTCTATTTCAGCAATACCGTCATATTCATGTATACTTAATTTAAGTAGCTTACAATTTATATACACACTACAATAAATAAACAAACAAATAAAGAAAGTGGCATTTATTTCGCCATTTTGTTGATCTCGCTTAAAGTAATCTCGTAGGCGAATGACTAACGCCCCCGCTTGACTCGCCTTAATGTGTTTTGTTCGTTTGGCATTTTAAATAAAGAAACTCACAACAAATAGCAAAAATTTACTTTACTAAACACAACAATAAACTCAATAATCGAAAGAAAAAACAATTTAAACTTATACAAATCAGTGTTGCCATGTGTACCGATTTCAGTCCTGATTTTCAGAGGTCACGTACTGGTGACACGTCCCAATTCACCCTTAATCCCCCTGTCTCGCCAGCAATGCAAAATCAGGAATTTGCATTTAGAAAAAGCCAAAATTAGGGGCTTGTTATGTGCTAATTAGATGCCAAGTTTAAAATTTAGGTTAGGCTTTAAAATGTTCACTGCAACGAACTCTTGAAATTTGCGTTGCTGACAAAACGTATCGCTAGCAACGCAGTGATGATTATAGATTATAGTGATAATTGAAAGATTATTGAGGTCGGATGTAGATCACGGAAATATTCTGGGAATTATCGGGTCCAGGACCACCATTAACTTACTATAAGGTATGAACGGCATTTTTTGTTCTTTATTATTATTATTTTTGGTTTAATTCTGAACAATATAAATTGTGTTGAATCATTTTACAATACAATTAAAATACTTATGAATCAAATTTACAATTATAAAAAATACAATAAAAATATAATTTACAATCAATATTAAATTAAAATAATTATAACAATTAATATAAAAATTACAAGTCAAATCTCATCAGTATAAATAAAATAAAGTATAAAATATCACAAAATAATAATAACAATATTTGTCACAAAAAAAAATTACGATTATTTTTAATGTCATCAAAAGTTTTAAAACATTGTTCGTTATATAATAGCATCAGCATGTAGAAATTCGTCAACATTATAATAACATTTTCCAATAGGAACTTTTTAAAGGTATTTTTGAAACTATTCTTGTATAACATATTTTTTAAGTCAGTAGGTACGAGGGCGGCACTGAAAATTTCGGGAATCAAGGAAGTGACACAATATTGCTATTTAAAAATGTATTTATTGCTTTTCGAAGTATTCTCCGCGAAATTTGACACATTTTTCCCGTTCAATGCCTTGGAATTACATTAATAAAGCTTCTGTCTAACATATGATGATATTTAATTGTCAACGGTTCATTGTTTCTTCATGGTAAAGGTCTAGTTGTTTTTGATTTATCTCTGATATTTGTTTAATCAATATCAAATTTTCTCATTTCTTTACATATAACTCTGAAGTTAAATTTGCTAAATCTGCTATACTAAAACCTAGTTGGTATGGCCTGTTGAGTTTCCTTATAAGCAAGCTCTCCTTATGTTCCTTCGCCTAATCTTCTATTAGGATCTTACCCCAACGTTCAGCGACTTCTGTAGTGATCTTCTGTCCACTCCTCCAACGTTTTTACTTCACTAAGGGCTGCCGAGATTTCGAGGAGGCACACTTTTCTAGTTTTGAGATAGTGAATATTCACGGACCCATTCTAAAGACTCCTTGAGCATAGTATTCTCGGCTGTAAGCAAGAGGGGTGCCGGTGTGGGCAATTCAATCAATGAACTAGGCCAGTGGCGCTCAGATCAATCTCTTCCTTTCCGACAGTAACCACTGCCACCATTATGTTCGTGCGCGTCGAACTTTATTTCCTTACACTCGTTACAAGAATTATATTCAGAATCTTATAGAACAAGGTTGAAACAGTTTATTATTTACTTTCTGGATAACATCACGTGTCACCACATTAAGAAAGCAATTTTATATTTCCGGATGAAATCACGTGTCACCACTGAGGAAATAATTGTATATAATATATTCAGAAAATAATAAACGAAACAATACCAATTATTAGCACTTCACTTTCTGGGTAACATCACGTGTAACCACATTAAGAAAGTAAATAACTTATTTCCGGATGACATCACGTGCCACCACTGAGGAAATAATGGTATATAATATATTCAGAAAATAATAAACGAAACAATACCAATTATTAGCACTTCACTTTCTGGGTAACATCACGTGTAACCACATTAAGAAAGTAAATAAATTATTTCCGGATGACATCACGTGCCACCACTGAGGAAATAAAGGTATATAATATATTCAGACAATAATAAAAGAATTAATCCCGATTATTAGTTCTTCACTTTCTGGGTAACATAACATCACGTGCCACCACTGAGGAAATAATATAACTTGATTTTTATTAATTAATATGTAAGTACTTAGATACAAAATCACCCATTAACTTTATTTATGTAGTATTTTTTGGCAGACTATATGTACTAAAAGATTATCTTTATGTCACTTGTTAAATGCACCATAAATAAGAATCATAATATTAATTATTATTTAAAAAGGTCGCAAAACTAACCTTTATTACGGGAACATCTTGCGCTTTTCCGTCAATACTTAACTCCTTTTCCAAACACCTTATTTTAATTCTAATTTCGTCAGCAGTCTTCTCACTTGTTCTTTTTTTTTTTCATTTTTACTTAATCTTAACTAAACAAATCTCATTTGTTGTTTGTTGCGGCGAACGTCCGGATGATGCAACACACAGAAAACGAATGATCGAAACGCCCGACCGGTACGGCAGGCTGACAGTGGCGTGCAAAAGTCAATAGACTATCTTTTTATTAGTTATTATTTAATTTATTGTAAAAATAATATCTAAAATTCGTGTGATGATGCAGTACGACAGAAAGCGGACTACATAGTTTATTAAATATCTACGGATGCAGCAACGAAGTGTAAATTAATAATATAATTTAATATCATAATATTCAGCTTAATTTAATATATTTAATTACAACAAAATCTAGTTAATTATGATTATGTGAAACTGTGCAAAATATTTATTAATATTTAACTTTACACATTCAATAAGTTTAACAAATAAATATAGATACAATAAGAAAAGCTTACTACAATATAATAATAATATAATCAAATCTAATAGTAATGATATAATGTCATTTCATAATTTCTTTTCAAAGATATTAATAATATTGCATATTATAATAATTTCAAATTTTGTATTTATAATAAATTAATGATTTTAAATACAATATGAATAATCTAAATACCTCAATAATATTATCTACTATGTACGTAACGTAATAATTATTAAATTTACGGATTCAATAATTAAGTTTTAAATGCAGTATACCTAATCTAATTTTAAATAAGATCGTCTAAAATTGAATGCGCAACAAAATAAGTTTTAATATTCCACACATACATTAACTACTAAATATATGCTAGATAGAAATTTACGATAGTAATAGATGTGCTGCGATTTTTGACTTGTAATAAGACCATAGCCGTTTGCTATACTCAATGTTTAACAATACTATAAAGTGCGCAATGTTTTGAATTTGTCGATGTAATTGTTTTCAACTTACCCACATTTTATTTTTATATAAGGTCTATCTAAGCCTAGAGTTTGTACAACTAGGAATTTTTATTTATTGTAAATGACGGAAATTAGAGTTTTCATTTCATTATGCTTGTAACCTTCTTAACTTCCAGGGTACAATGGAACAGAAGATCTACGAGCGTGCCGTGACGAAGCAGGCAGTAGCATGCCGCGTAGTGGACGAGCAACAAATTGATCGCCACTACAATATGGATGAACTCACCGAATTATACAAGTGGGTGTCTAGTGTTTAAATTATAATGTTAATCGCCGTCTAAGAGCGGCGTAAGTGGCACTAAAGGCTTTTCAGTACTGTATATATTTTTAAATTTCTTTGGATTTCACCGCCCCATATCCCATGGACGACCGAGGAAAATAAAATTGATGGGCAGCAGCATCTTGATAACTCGTTTGCCACCTCCCTTCTAATCATGGCAACTATGACAAGTATCACCTCTATAAAGCTATCTATGGGGGAGGCCTACGTTTAACAGTAGGTCTTTTAATCCGCCGGCGGTGTCCGACATAATAGGGTATTTTACACCATGTAAAAAAAAATAAAAAAATGTATATTTATGATAGATTTTGTCAAAAGCAAACGAGAAATATTGATTTCTATTTATAAAAATGCATTATAAATTTTATATTTCAATTTTAAGAATATTTTTTTTATCTGTGCCTCAAATCTCCAAACGCTGTCCGCCGGAGTTTTGGCGGGAAATTGACCGGCGGCGGTTTGCTGCTCCTGTATTATTGTTTAAATAATGGTTTGAAGTGGACTTTGATATGTAAAAGTGTTGCGATTTTGTGTATTAAGTGTCTACGCATGTGAACTATTAGTGGAAACAGTGAAACAAGTGCTCTGATGGTGATGGATTCTCAAGATAAGCTGTTTGTTTGCATAGGCACCTTTAGATACCATCGCCAACTATCAGCTGTCTGCTGGATCAAGTTGCCGCCAAAATCTCCCAAGAACTGCACAATGTGACGCATCAACATATTGTGAAGCAGTATACTATGAAGGAGTGGGGAAATTACAATAAACCGAATAAAAATACTTAAGACTTGGCCTAAAGGTCTAGATACCAGGCCATAAACTCCAAAAAAAAACGCTGTCCGCCATATTAAATACCGTCGTGAGTCGTGACGTCACTGGTAAAAAGAACTAGCTAATAATGTGCTATATTATTTCTAAATTTTTCAAGTTGTCAATACGATTGTTGAGTTTTATTCCGAATTTTATTGAAAAGGCATCATGTAAGACGGATTTGTAAAAGCAGAAAGTACTAATCTTAATTCTATTAATTCGAATTCGTTTAACAGAACCCATAATCTTATATTGCGTGTAATTTTATATGTAATTTTTTAGCTATACTCTATTCCAATTACGAAGTCCCATTTGACAGATGTCAATAATCAAGCACTAGTAAAGTACCGCTATAGTTGGTACTTAACGATATTGATCTTCGATTACTATAACGAACCAATTAAAATCGTATTGACAGAAAAAGGATTAGCATCAAATTAAAATTTATAAAACTGTTTTTTAATTTTAATTAGATAATATTACATAATATTTTTATCAAGATGGAACATATTCATCATCACTAGCCGAAATCGATATTTCATGGTTGGCATCATAGTCATCACCCTCATCATCGTCTGTAGAATCCCCTGTATTTATTATAATTTGGTTATCTATGACGGCATCGATATGTATGTCTCTGTCCCAATCAGCGAAAATCAAATGTTATGTTCGTAAAACCACACTTTCCCAATAACACTTCGGCAGTAACACTATCACAAGCTTCTTGCAACAATGACAGCATTCTGTTTGCAGTAAACGGTGGGCTGGTATTTTTACGAGCCGCATAACAGCCGTGTAAAAATAAATTATAAAAAAGATTTGTTTAAATTCTTGCCTTTAATTTGCGCACTAATCAATTCTATGGCATTGTATTGACAATGGTAGGGTGGAAGGCGCATTACATTGTGTCCGGCTTCCTTAGCCATTTCGTCCAATACATATTTTGGTCTAGCTGGCTTATTTATAGCAACCAAATGCAGCAGCTCAACTTTTAACATGGACATGTCAGCAACGATATTATTGTCATTCAGCTATTTCACAATATCGGCTTTTTTCCTGCTAGAAGTTGGAGGCTTACTTATTTGTACTGAATGATACGGTGAATTATCCATAATGATCGTCGATGGCTCATTCAAGTTGGTCAATAAGGTACAAAACCATTACTTAAATTTAACAAAATTCATCTCTTCGTGGTATTCCACAGTTTTCTTAGATTTAAACGCCAAGAGGCAGTTCGGAACAAATCCCTTCATGGAACCCGCATGACAAATAATTAAGCGTTCGCCTTTGCCACTAGGTACTTTTGTGGAGGAGTGAGGAGTGTCGTCTGTCCATATTTTGACAACTGTATGATTAGCGTTTAGCCACGTCTCATCTAGAAATATAACATTATTCCAAACGGCAAGGGACTTTGCTGATCTTAGAAAATTAAATCTGGCTAAAGCTATATCTCTACGTTCCATCAAAGTCCGCCTTTATCACTTTTTTATAATTTTTTAAAACCCTCCAGAAAGAAGTTCTTCTGTCGTGAAACAGTCCAGATTCTCGTAAAGTATTTGACAATTTATCGAGAGTCGGCAATTCGTTCCTACTATAGTAGCCTTAGATATGGTTTCTAATGGCGTCGTTATCAAAATTGTCGATATGTGTAACTATCGATCTTCTAACTTTTTTCTTAAGTGGCGATTTTAATTTGTTATCTTCCATTAAATCTTTACCATGTTTTTCCTTACTTATTCGGGAAACAGTTTTTCGACTAATACCAAGAGCTGCACTTACTCGGTTAGTCACTTGTGAAAGTGGCAACAATGGACCACCATTCTGATACTCTCTTTCAAAGTAATCTTGTAGGCGTACTACAAACTCTCGCGCTTGACTGCGCATCACTGTTCTTTTAGTGGTCTCAATTTCGGCCATAGTGTTGATAAATCTTACTTTTACCTTGCTACTACTTTAACCAAGTTGTTAACTTACCTTCTTAGTCTTTATATTCTTACTATACATACTAACTACTCACATACCTAACAACTAACTTAGACTGTGTCTTGCACATAATATGCTGACTTAAACTAAATTATTTGGCATCAAGTCAAACCTCCGTGGTTTTTAGATGTTAATTAGACCTATACATGTATTCTCCTCTTTTGATCTGATAAATAAACTAAAAAAAAAAATACAAAAAAAAACCAAATCAAATAACAGTCAAAACTTAATAACAATGAAAGAATTATCAAACAGTTATAACTACAATAACAAGAACGAAATAAAAACACAACACAAAATCAACTAAACTGAACACGCGTATCGTATACAAGGCTTCTGCACTCGTACTGAAGAGACAAACAAAATGGCGGTCGTGATCACGAGGTGTACGCAGTCTTGACAGATTTTTCACTCGCGAAAAGAATCTGTCTATAATCGATTTTATACGATTCTTTTAGTCACGTCACTATGTAAAAAAGTAAAAATAAAACTATAGAACGTAAACGCAAAACGGCAGTAAAATATTATTATCTTTTAAAGTTTTAATTGTTTTGAGCACGATGTCTAAAAACAATATGTTGATTGTGTGTGTGAATTAATTGTATAATGATTTAGATTGATTGTGTATTTTTAAATGATGATTTACGACCATGAACAAAAATGATTATTATTTCAAATTATGCGAAACGTGAAGAGTTACGTTCTAAGAAGTGTCAAAAGGGACTTCGTAATTGGAATATAGTATAAAACATGCAATAATCTTTATGACATTTGGAATCAAAGCGAGTTTGTTGCTTCGCTTTTAGCACTAATGTTATAGATATTATTATATAAACTTAGGTGAGAAAAACTTTTTGTCATATTTTTTTGTACAAACCAACACATAATAGAAGAAAATACGAATTAAGTAAAACACTGCACTGCATTTGCAAGGGCTTTTAAAATGGTTCACAAAGGGCGGGACAGGCGAGCGGGTTAACCTAATATGTTACAAAATTTGACTTGCAAGGTCATGCACCTATCATGTCATTTTTTTTTGTTTTCTATAAACGATAGTTAAATAAAAGTCATACTTACATCAAAGTGATCTTCATAGAAGTATAGTTTAAATTTTGCCAGTTTTAACCAAGTATTTCTCATATTTAAATCAGTTGGCACTTGAATCCATAACTTCCCCGGCGTTCATATGCTCGTATTTTAGCATTCAGGCACAAAACAACAATGATATAGATAATAATATATAACTATAATATAGAACTCATTGTTAAACATCCAAAAGTATCTTATCCCTTTGCAAAATCGGAAAAATTCTAGGGCAGTGACGTCACGAGTTGAACAGCATGGCGGCTAGCGTTTTCACGCGAAAATTGAAAACGATAGATTAAAAGTCATTTTTAGTGCACTATTCGGTTTTAAAAAATTTAAAAATTATAGTGGTTCATTATCACTAGGATTCATTTAAAACACGGCAACCACGACTTTTTCTGTCAACAGGGCGGGGAAGTTAATTTGTTCGGAAAATACAGGCTGTCCCAGAACTCAACGTCAAGCCGAAACAGGGTGACAGGATTGATTGTAACCATCATGAAAAAATCAGAAAAAAAATCTATCCCATGCAGTTTGGAAATTATGGGCATTTAAGAAAAACCTAGAAATTTGGTCAAACTGTAACCATTTTTCGGTTATTGTGGTTATTTTTATTATATTTGTTCACTTAAGCTTTGGAACCCTAACCCTAAATAACATTTCTAGAACCATAATCAAAAATAATGACACAACTGCCCCAAGTTTTCTAGAATTAAGACTATTTGTTAAACTATGAATTTAAAATTTTCATAATTTGTCGACATTGAAAGGCCCTCCTTTAAAAAAAATGTACTAAAGTGCCTTGGCAAGTGCCATTAAAAGTTCGCGCATTTAATCAGGATTGTAAAATGGTACAATACTTGTTAGTTTCATACTAAAAAAAAAATTAGTAAAAAATAAAAACCTCGAGTAACCCGATTTTTGCTAACCCATTTTACTCAGTTCAAATGTTTTTTATTCGCACAAACTCTTGGTGGGTTCTTAATTTTACGACAAAATGATGAGAGAGATGGATAGTGGACATGTTTGCCATGAGCGACCGAGACAGATAGTGAAGCCACGCAGTGAGACAGAGATACGTCTGACACCAGTTAGTACGTTTCGCTCATTCGTCTACTTTTCGTACCTTTCCGTATTCGCTTGTGTTGATTTAGTACTGACAACTTTGGCTTCTCTTTTTGGACTTGGATTTTTGTGAATTGGACTTGTTGATTACATACCGGCAACTTTGGATTCTCTCTTTTGGATTTGGACTTTTGTGTTGGCATCCTTGTTATCTACCATGCCTACGCGCTACACTTTACAAGAATATGCGAACATGCACCTCATTTATGGGGAATGCAGATGTAACGCAAGTGCCGCCGTTAGACTTTATCGTGAAAGATATCCAAATTTAGAGCACTATCCGGATCACCGCGTGTTTGTTAATGTGCACCGTTCACTCACGGAGGGTGGCCATTTCCCGAATCAAATACGGGCTGGAGGTAGAGCTCGCTTTCCTTACGAGAAAGAAGTGTCGCAGATGACCCAAATATTTCCGTTCGTGGAATTGAAGAAAGAAGGGGAATACCCAAAAGCACATCACATCGTATTTTACAAAGAGCCGAAATGCATCCGTTTCACGTACAACGAGTTCAAAGTCTTCTTCCTCGAGATTATCCTGAAAGGATTTCATTTTGTAAAACAATGCTACAGAGGCATAATGAAAATCCCCAATTTATCCAAAAAATTCTCTGGTCAGATGAGTCTACATTTAAATAAGATGGTTACATAAACTTACACAATTTTCACGAGTGGCATGTGGTGAATCCACATTTAATGCGAGAAGACAGATCCCAGTATCGCTTTAAAGTAAACCTGTAGACCGGAATTTTAAAGGGCGAAATTGTTGGGCCTTTTGTGCTGCCTGAAAACTTGAATGGCACGAATTACCTACATTTTTTACGATAAAATTTACCAACTTTGTTAGAGGACGTACCACTAACAGATCGTCACGCAGCGCATCAGCGCATTACGCAGTGCAAGTAAGAGATTTCATTGACCTGGAATATTCGGGAAGGTGGATTAGACGTTCAGGCACTAACTCGTGGCCAGCCCGTTCCCCAGATATAAATCCCCTGGATTTTTTTTATTGGAGCATTCTCAAAGAAAAAGTTTATTCTAAGCCCATTGATAGCGTAGTCGAGCTGCGTGAACGAATTTCACAAGCTGCTGAGGACATCAACTCTCGAGGATATGCCCGACTAATAACTAGACCTTTTTTAATAAAATGTAGGGCGTGTATTGAGGCTGATGGTAAACAATTTGAACATTTATTGTAATAAAAAATGTTATTTCCCTATCTGACTTTTATTACAATAAACCTAAACTGAACTAGGTCAAGATTTTTCATTATTTTATTAATTTTACTTACTTTTGTTGACTTTGGTAAAAGTGGCGTCACTATCTATCTCGGTCGCTCATGGTAAACATGTCCACTATCCATCTCTCACATCAATAAAAACATTTGAACTGAGTAAAATGGGTTAGCAAAAATCGGGTTACTCCGAGTTTTTTTATTTTTTACTAGTTTTTTTTTAGTATGAAACTAACAAGTATTGTACCATTTTACAATCCTGATTAAATGCGCGAACTTTTAATGGCACTTGCCAAGGCACATTAGTACATTTTTTTAAAAGGAGTGCCTTTAAAAGTCGGCAAATTTTGAAAATTTTTAAATTCATTGTTTAACAAATAGTCTTAATTCTAGCAAACTTGGGGCAGTTGTGTCATTATTTGACTGTAGTTCTAGAAATGTTATTTAGGGTTACGGTTACAAAGTGTAAATGAACAAAAATAATAAAAATTAACCACAATAACCGAAAAATGGTTACAGTTTGACCAATTTTCTAGTTTTTTCTTAAATGCCCATAATTTCCAAACTGCATGGGATAGACTTTTTTCTGATTTTTCTCATGATGGTTACAATCAATCCTGTCACCCCGTTTCGGCTTGACGTTGAGTTCTGGGGCACCATGTATAAGGGTAAATGTCTCTTTTTGAAATATCAGTTATACTCTATTTAGATTAGAAATGAATAAACTGAACTAAGCATATTCCTCAAAGTATAACAAAAAATTAAAAGCGAACCACAGGCATTGTATTGTGTTTTTTTTTTGCAATTTGCACACTAGAAATCGATATATTTTAATTTAAAATACAATTTGACAATTATAATGTCGTTGTGTAGAATAGAATAGAACAGAATCATTTTTATTCAATACGAGCGATCCGTCTCGGCTTTGCATGGGTGATTTTTGGATTTCGACGACAGCGCCACTATCCGGGTTCAATTGTGAATTTAAACTATCCGTCTACAAAACAAACACAAAAAATTTTAACAAAATCAGTCCTGCAATTTTAGAGTTTTAGCGAAACTAACGGACAGCAATTGATTTTTATATATAGAGAAGATAGATTACAAAAATACTTCTTGAAAGTCATTTAAGCTTTACCACTGGTACGGGGAAAAGCCTCTGTTCTGAAAAGAACCAGCAATAAACCTGGCGGGATTTTTTAACATGCATTTACATTTTTTTAAATTAATTACTTTAAACTATTTTTGATTAACCTTTAAGTACCGACGTGAATTTTTTGTAACGTTAGTACCGACGTGGGGCCTGAGAGCTCGCGCGTATATTATGTAGTGTGTTTTAAGGAAAGTGATGATTTAAATATCTGTATTATAATGAAAAATAAAGGGTTTTAAAAAAAATAAGTATAAAAAGGAAATCAATTTTACAAAAATTTTAAATATGAGACTACAATAGTATTTGGCTTGAATTTTGGGGAAAATACCGACTACTAGATATAGAAAATGAAAACACAAAGCATATTCCTCTCAGAATGACAAAAAGTAGTATTTTTTTATTTTCGACGAATATAACTTTTACAAAATAAAAAGTAGGAACATAAACCTTCTGGGAAAGAAATTACCACAGTTCAACTATACCTTAAATTTGCCTCTTTAAATGTGCCTCGAAAAAAGAAGTATGTTTGTTTACAATCGAAGTCGATGCTTAGAAGCGGTTTCAAGCTATAATATAGTAAAAGTTTGTGTTAGTGTTCCGATTAATAAAATACCGAATATATCATGAATTAAGCATATACTTTTATTAATATTAGTTTCTTTGTAAATTTACCCCTCCTACTGTAATATTTTATAGCCCTGTAGACGGTCTGTTCACGGTCTACTAAATTTTTTGGAGAAGAATCCAATCCTTGCCCAAGGTTTTCAAAACTTCCCAGTGCAAGGGACACAGCCCGTATAAGCTGGGAGAAACTGACGCTTCAACTCAATTGTTTAGATTTAGAGGCTGTGTTAAAACCCAGGTTTTTAACCCAGCATTGGACTAAAGTTTGTAGTTTTATGACCAATTACTTTTACGTCATAGTAAGTATACATAGTTAGTTAAATTTTAAATAAATCTGTTTTATTATTGGGTTGGTAAAAAAGTGCTATTAAGAAGTGTGCATTACGCTTTAAACACACACACACACACACATAGTGGGAGGCTAACCTGCACTTCGCTTACCAGTACGATGTTGCCACTGGAGAACCTTTCATCTATTTATTTTTATTAGTTTCCAAGCGATATGGCCAGCCCATTGCCATTTCACTTTAATAATCCGTTGGTCTATGTCAGTTACTCTGGGTCTATTGCGGATATCCTTATTTCTTACTTTATCACGCGGAAAAAATTCTCTCTAATTTATAAGTTTAATATTTTTTTCTAAAATTTAAAGGAACCATAAACACAAGAATTTCCTTATGCACTTAGGGAAGCACCACATTTTAGTGTAAAACGTATTTAAAGAGCTTGTGCCGTTATGGAAAAATTTTGCAAAATATGACAAAGGTAGTGACTCTGGGGATTTTTTTTCTAATAAGGCGTTGACAGAAATACAATTTTGTTCAATTAAAAACATTTATTAAATCCTCTTCTGTTACCCTGTATTTTTCTACGCGGATTAAATGAACAGTTATTGTGATATTTTTACTTAAATATCCAAGAATTTAGGTATTTCACCCGCACTTAGAGTAGTCATTAATTGTTCCACTCCATGGTGCCCGTTTAACGTTAAATTTTGGTACACGTTGTATATTCTGGTACTTTATTGCAACAAATAAGCTCACACCCAACTTTCGACATATAAGTAGCGACATGAAAGTCTAGCGGTGACCGTTATTGCGCATAAGATTGGCTCGTACCTATCGTTCGCACGCGCTGATTGGCTCTCCAGTCGCATTCGTGAAATTCAATTCGTGCGTGTCCCCTGCACGTTTCGTTCAGCGCTAGACTTACGTGCCGTGACTTGTATTATGGTGAGCGTAGAATGATTGGTGGTGTTGGTGTGTCAGATTGGACGAGTCGGGGTCGGGCGTGGCGAGCGGCGTGGCGGTGGGCGTGACGGACGTGGCGCTGCTGCGCGTGGCGCGCGACGTGTCGCTGCACGCCGTGCACGAGCACGACTCGCTGCTACGCGGCTCGGCCGAACAGCAGCTGCCCGAGCACGAGCGCGCGGCCGCCTGGCTGCAGTTCGAGCAGGAACAAGCGCACACGCGTCAGTATACAACCCTATTGTATTGTATTCTACATTATATTATATTGTAATGTAATACAATCTGTGCACGAGCACGACTCGCTGCTGCGTGGCTCTATCGAGCAGCTATGTAACAAGTCGCGGCAATTAAGTCTAGCGCTGAGCGAAACGTGGAGCGGAGAGGTGCGCATGGGTACTGTGGCGCACTTATCACGTATCAGTACGGGGGACGGAAATCGACTGGAAAGCCAATCAACGCGTCCGTACTATTCGCGCGTGCTGATTGGCTCTCAAGTTATAAACAATTATAATTTAAAATTCAAGATATTTTAAATTATTATTGTTTATAACTTTATTCAATAGTTTATCGTCAGAAAATATGATGGATTTTAATGGATGGCGGTTCAAATACCTCTTTTACGCCAGACATAAAATATCCATACTGTTGAAGCGCAGCCATCTTTCAGCAGACATTGGGTATTGCGATTGAAGATCTGTGTTACCAATATCGCAAATCCTCCCAACAACGGGAGATGCCCACTCAACCGTGGATGCAGTCCAGGCTGATGAAGAAGAATAAATGAAGAAGTTTACTCATATACTTTTCAGCATAATAGTACAAGAGATAAATAAAAAAAAAAACATGATGTCCATCCATATTTATGCACTCGCTCGTGTATGCAGGAATTAAAATTAACCAATTTCTAAAACTCAACTTATTTTAATAATATATAAATAATAAACTTTGATATTATTTTTTATATTATTTTTTCAGAAATGCAGAACTTAGGACAGAGCGCGTTTAAAACGCCAACAAAACGACTTCATGGTCATGATTATGCAAAATCACCAGTACATTCACCAGTTGAAATAAAAAACGAGAATGACGAAAAAGTACCAAAAGAAAAAATCAAACTAAGGTCAAGAAAGACTCGTAAAAATTCTTTCAAAGATAGAATACTTTTAGAACAAGAACCCAGCACTAGTAAGAAAGTCGTAACTGATGATACCACTAATAAAGAAAGTGTGATGGTACAACAGATCAAAAACATTTTAGTTCAAAATGACTTTCTTAATCATTACCACGCCTCCGATATAGAGAATTTCGTAACAAAGGTGCGCCAAGTTGTTGACGATGGTCTTAAAGCAGGTCATGCTAATGTCAGTGATATTGTAACGGAAAGTATATCAAAGGTATTACTTAACTCGGATATTACAGCTGTTGTTCAATCGTCTGCTATAATTCCCCAATGTTTTGAGGAATCTAAAATGGAACATATGCAAACAACCTCAAACAATGAGATAAGCATTAAAAAAAGCATCAAGAAAGAGGACAGCGATGAAACTAAAGAAAGCACAACTAAAAATAAAAACAAATGCTCAAATAAAAAAGAAAATGGAAGGAAACGAACTTCTGAAAAGGAGGAACAATTAACATCTGGCCAAATCAAAGACATTAGTACAAATAACATGCATAAAAGAAGAAGAAAAGCAGCATTAAAGGCAAGAGAACACCTGGATTCATTGGACTTAACATTTAATCAAGATGACGATGATGAATGGAATAATAGTAGTATTTCATCGTTAAAGAAACATAAAGCGAGGCAAATTAAAAGTGAAACTGTTACCTGTAATAAAGACAAAGAAGATCTGATGCAGTACGAGAATTCATCATTAAAGAAACATAAAGCAGGGCAAAGTAAAAGCGAAACTGTTACCTGTAATAAAGAAAAAGAAGTTCTGACGCAGAACGAAAATTCATCATTAAAGAAACATAAAGCAGGTCAAAGTAAAAGCGAAACTGTTACCTGTAATAAAGAAAAAGAAGTTCTGACGCAGTACGATAATTCATCATTAAAGAAACATAAAGCAGGTCAAAGTAAAAGCAAAACTGTTACCTGTAATAAAGAAAAAGAAGTTCTGACGCAGAAGGAAAATTCATCATTAAAGAAACATAAAGCAGGGCAAAGTAAAAACGAAACTGTTACATGTAATAAAGATAAAGAAGTTCTGACGGAGAATGACAAAATTTTAAACAGAGAAAAAGACAATTCAGATGAAGAAACACTTTCCAGCTCTTCCAAACCAGAAGATATCAATAAAAACGGAATAGAAATGAATAGTATACTTCTAAGTGATGACGATGATGACCTCATTATAGAACCTAAGCAACCTGAAACCAGCAAAAAAGTAAAGAATACAGTTGAAAGACAAAATGAAGATAACGATAACGAAAATGAACAGATTCCCTTACATCCATCGTTGTTAACCAATAATAATTTTATTAAAATAGTAGCGCATACATACTTGACGGGCAATCCTATGTTAGATGAAGATGCTGCTGTTTTAGCTGCTCAATACAGTACGCATAAAGCATTAAAGGAAATTGAGATGACCGGAAAAGACTTGTGCAGTGGACCCATTTATGATATTGCTGTCAATGTATGTATAATTTTGTTTTCTTCATTCATCAAAAGAATATTTTTTTCAAAATTCCGACGTTCCTCCTTTATTTATATAATGGGAGTTGATAGGTGCAAACTCCTTGCTATGTAATAAATATTAATCATTGAAATCCAAATGCTTACTTCCTATGTACTACTCGACTAAAACAATTAGACGCATGACAGCTAGGATGTGATTGGAACTAGGGAGGAGAATACCAACATATAGCGTACTAGTCTTTGTGTTATAACATGGTACAGGTGACAGCTTGACAGGTCACTAGAACGTACAACTTCCGTGCGTTTGCAAGATTGTCTTAACCTTAACTATGAGAAAATATTTTCTAATTAATTATAACTATTAAATTAACATTAGTAACTTAAAAATCTCAATATAGTTTTTTTTTTTACTAATAAAATTATAAGTTTCATTTATTCCACTTGCGATGCGCAGTTACATATTATGCATACTAGCGGTATTTTAATTACTAGAGATGAGCCTCATAATAAACTGCCAAGCGAATTTAATGGCTAACAATAAGTAAGATATTATATTTTATATGTGTGACGGTATTGCACCGTCATATACCGTCATTTTATTTAAGTACTATATAATTTATTTAAAATTTATGTTTTTGTTCGTTTTGGCATTTTAAATAAACAAACTTAACAAATAGCAAAAATCAACTTGACAAAACACAACAATAAACTCAATAATCGAAAGTAAATCAATATAAATTTCAACTGGAAATTACAAAACGGCCGATAGGTAGGTACTTTATACAAAACGCTAGGCGCTAGCATAGATTATACACATTATTGGGAAATTTGGCGTCTCGATCAAGAATGATTTGGTGACACGTCCCAATTCACTCCTGATCGAGACGCCAAATTTCCCAATGTTTAACGTCCCGATACTTATGACAGCAAAATGAAACAATAGCTTTGACATTTCATATTTTCTCACCAAACTCTGACTAAATAATTAACATAAAAGTTTTAAATCTTATGCGTATTGTGTTGGCGAGATATAGATATCATTCATACTGTTTCGTTTTACCTCTCATCGAGTGATGCCGCTTGCCCAACCACGCTATGCATCGACGTTGTCAATTCGACCATTATTTATTATTTAATTCTTTTAGCAGTAATTAGTACAGTATCTATAAACTTCTATTTCATCTAACTTACATACTGTAAAATAATTTGTAAAAAAATTTACAATCCATGTCAATTTTTTTTTTATAGGATAGGGTGACAAACGAGCACACAGTCCACCTGATGGTAAGTGGTTGCTGCGGCCCATAGACATTCTATCTATCCTCTATTACAAATCAAAATGTAGAGATGCGTTGTCACCCGAGAGGACTACGATGGAATGACTCATTTCTAGTAAAAAGGGCCTCCGGCCACCTGCACTTACCAAGCGAAACACAGAGGTAAACCTCTACTTCACGCTGGTTTTCTGTGAGGTCGTGGTACTACCCCGGTTCGAACCGGCCCATCCGTGCGACAGCAAAAGCTGCCGCGTGGCTCTACCACTGTCAACTCAATTTTAGTTACAGTTTAATAAAAATTATGACATTATAGTTACGTTATATTATGTATTCATTTGAAAATAAAAATTATCTTTTATTTTATGTTAAAAATGTTGCACATTTTTCTTAACATTAAAATATACAAAGACTGCCAGCACCCGTAATTTCTAGTAAGACGTTGATTACATCTGCAACTTTTCAAGATACGAGTGCTAGTGCCTTTCGCTATTAATGTGTATAAGTGTTACCAGGTTCAGTAGGTCAAATATCAGGACGGAAGATAAAAATAATCGAGAATTCGGTTTACAAATCTAATAAAATAAAAAACAGGTCATTTTGCCCGCCATGAGTTATACTCAAGTCTTTTTGACACAATGCGCAATGGATTTATAATTATTTTTGGGACTAAGCTAATGAACGAATATTTTATCATTCAAACATTGGAAAAACTGCATAGTCGTCTAAGTTCCTTTTTTCTTTTTTGGCCAATCAGAACTTGTTGAACGATTAATTATCGTTGCAGACTGAATTTTCTGAATGACTCGTTTTATTGTTATTCTGAAAAAAGTAATAAATCTTATGAATTTAGAATGCATACTTCAAAAAATCCTTAAAAACAGCGTCATAACCCATCGGTCAATAAGTCCTGAGCCTAAGTAAGAAAAACATAATATTCATCAATATAGTCTCCTTCAAAAGTGATACACTGAGTACAGCGCCGCTCTTAACATTTCTATGCCTTTTTTTATAATACGATTTCTCCAACCCTTCAAAATACGCTTTAGTTTTGGCGATCACTTCTTCATTTGAAGCAAATTTCTTTCCGGATAGTATTTTTTTAGGTTAGCGAACAAATAATAGTCGATGGTGGCTAAATCTAGCGAATACGGTGGGTGAGCAAGCAATTAAAACTTTAACTCTTTAAGTTTCGCCATGGTGACAACAGACTTGTGACATGTGCATTGTCCTAATGAAAAATAACGTTTTTCCTTCAAACGCACTAATAACGACATATGATATTCGCTATTGATCCTTTCACGCTTTTAAATATTATACCATGCACATCCCAAAACACGGATGCCATAACCTTTCCAGCTGAAATTTGAGTTTTTGGTTGCTTTGGGCGACTTTATTGGTTGTTGTCCACTAACTTGACTGCCGTTTTGATTCTGGAGTGTAGTGGTGGATCCCAGTTTCATCCATTGTGACATATCGCATAAAAAATCCTTTTTGTTCCGCCTAAATAACTAAACAGCGCTCTGAGGCTTCAACAAGTTGATGCTTTTGGTCAAGCAAACGCGGTACCCACTTGGAAAAAAGCTTTCTCATGGACAAATGATCATTCAAAATGGTGAATCTACCTTTCGATATCTTTAGGTCGTCAGCTATCTCTTGCAATTTCATTTAACGGTCTTCCAAAACTATTTTGTGAGCTTTTTTTGTTTTCTCGAAAGCGAAACGAAGAGATTCGCAATATGGCAGGTTTAAAAGATGACCTTATCACAAAAATTGATAAGGGCGTGCTTCGGTGGTTTGGGCACGTTGAGCGAATGAGTGAAGACCGAATGGTGAAGAAAATATATAGCGCGAAAGTTAATATTATTAGGTGTCGAGGTTGACCGAGACTAACTTTCGAAGACAATGTGAGCAAATTGCTCGAAAAGGGGAGGGTCAAGAGTACTCGGATACCTAGACGTGCATGTGTGAAGAAGATAATGAATCTGAAAGAAGTGAAAGAGGTATGTAAGGATCGTGACACTTGGCGATCTGTTCTCTCTGGCTACCCCGTCAGGGATTGTGCGTGAAGATAAGTAAGTTTTATGTTTTCTGAAATAACAGCCTCATTTAGACGTCCAGAGCGTTCAGCATCGTTTGTGTCTTTTCATCCGTTCTTAAATTCAGCAAACCAACGTTTAACTGTTGCTTCTGATGGAGCAGAGTCCCTTATAACACTTAAGCTAACTTTTTGCTTCAACGGTATTTTTCTTCATTAAAAACAATGTTTAAATAGCACTCGAAATTCTTTTTCGTCCATTGTTCAAAAACTTTCAAAGTGGAGCTAAAAAAATCACCGTAACTTTTAAACAAATAATTTTGAGGTTATGAAGATTTTGCAGATTATATAGAAGTCTGCTTTTTTTTTAAATAAAAATAGTTTATCCCTAACAGCGTCATCTATACGTCAGGCTCGGGACTTATTGACCGACGTAATACAATAAAAAAGCACACATTCATGCATAATCAAATTATAACTTCAAACGCACAGATAAAATCCTTGCATCGCACGCATATGGTCACTATTTGTTGAAAACAAAAATACTTCCAACTGCTTGAAGAAATTGACTAGTGGAAGAACTGACCCACAAGACCTTTGCATTTTACTGAATGTAAATTTTGCTTAGCTTTGTGTATCGTTAAATGCCTTTTTTAAATCGGTTTAACATTGTTACATCTCGCCACGCAAAACTAAGCTGTCACCCGCACCATGCTATAACGCAAAGACTATAGTTACTTGTATGTAATTATTACGTACGAAACGTGTACTAATTTTAATGGTGGTTATCTCTACAAGCGGGGTAGAAATATATTTTTATAGAAATAATAAATATACTTTTATAGAAATATTTTTCTGAAATCTTTCTTTCGAAATATGTCCATCGAAGAAATTATTAAACCATATAGGCATCATAACGGTTAAATTTGTTAAATCAATCAATTAATCAAAAATTCAATAATTGGTTCAATAATTAAAATTGCTCTTAATTTCGGTGTAAAAGATGTAATTCTTATATAGAAATGTTAAGGGCTTTTATAACACTTCTATATCTGTGGTGTTGTGTTATATGTAATATACAATATGTAACAAAAACCCTGTGGTTCCCGTTAAGTACGTTATCAGGATCAGTATTCAAACCTATAGAAATAACTTATTTTTAAAAACTCGAGCAATATTTTATTTTATTTTATTAAAAGAATAATTGTATGCAAATTCTATATGGTTTTATTACCTCTGCATTGTCTGGAAAGTAAGAGGATTGTCTAAGACCCCGCTTTACTTAGCTTTAGCATCGGCTAGTGTCAGTAAGAGGTAATAAAACCACATAAAATAAAATATTTTTTTTATAAAATTTAAAAAAAATATATGGTCGAGTTTTTAACCTGATAACATACTTAACGGGAACCACAGGGTTTTTGTCACATGTTGTATATACATTATAAGGTAAAAGGTTCTTCATACCAAAGTTCTTATATTATGATGGATAGGTGGTGATTTCAACTTTAATTTTATTTAATGTTTATATGTACATATTTGGATATTTAGTGGTAATATCCTCTAGACCGAATTTCAATTACGGCGGCCCGTCTCAATGGAGACTAGCCATCTGCACAGGATAGAATTATATTGCCCGAGTGTACGCGTTAGTACAGGTACACTCTCTACTCCCTCAACCTCATAGTCCTATGGTACGGCAATTTGACACGACCCAAGAGAGATCAGGTGTAGGATAAACGCCTTTACTTGCTGTCCGACCCGCGGATGTAAAACATAGCTTCGTAACTCCGGGCTGCTACCGTGAATTTCTTAACAGAAATACACAATAATTGAATTTTGGCCCAACCTGGGATTAAAAACCCAGGCTAGGCAATAATTATAACAACACAATTGACAAAATACATTACTAACAATGAAAATCTTAAGAAGCAATAACGATATAATATTATCCCTGCCGAGAGTTCATGTAGCGCAAGGACAGAGGTGCCGAAACCGCATGTTACCTGACATGCACCTAAATGTTTAGGTTGAATAGTACTCCATATTTTTCTTTATCCGAAATTTTATTAGTATTATAATAAAAGTGCAAAAGAATAACATTATATGATACAAATTATTGGGTCCCAGTATTAGACCAGACCTTTTTTTCGTAAGCTACATCAAAACTGGCTCAACAGAAGTTAATCACCTGCCTAGAAGTGGCGATTGTACTCAAATATCAATTGATTAGCATATCGTCATGTGTGCATATTTGCAAAAGTCTGCATATAACAATAAGGCTAATATCGTGGGCATACAATTAATTTACACATTATTGGTTAACCAAAAATCTTTTCATAATAATCAATAATAATATTAACCTTAACACAACAGCTTTACTCTCATAACATTTTTATTACTACACTACAGTAATTGTGACCGGTACAAGCAATTTTTTCTGCTTATTATTTTATATGGACTTTAGCAAGTGGCCTTGTCATCACGCATACACTCTCGTTTCCACCTCTTACGATACTCACGGGATGATATGGGGTAGTGAATATTCTTACATTGCCGCCACACGGTTTTATTTATAGGATAGGGTAACAAACGAGCACACAGTCCATCTGATGGTAAGTGGTTGCTGTGACCCACAGACATCTACATCTGCCTTGGTTTGCGAATTAAAATGCAGATGCGTTGACAGCCGTGAGGACTTAAGATAAAATGCATTTACTTACAATCAAATCATTTGTTTATTATCACATTAATTTCCACACTTGTCATTTATGCTGTTACAAATCGATGAATTTTGTCTACGTAAAATAGTTTTTAAACAACAACAAACAAATTTGTTATGTTATAGGTAGTTGGCAAGGATACTTTAAAGAAACTTTACACAAGCAACATTAATCAACCTAAAGTTGATAAATCAAAAACAAACCAAGCAAATGAAGATGATCGTGAACAGGAGCAAACTACAAATGATGAGCCCCAAGTAAACCAATCAAAGGTTGATCTAAAATCCAAAAAACTAAAAGATAAAAAACATTCTAAAGATATGCAGTCGTCAAAATATCAAAATAAATCGAAATCAATTAAAAAAAGGGTTAGTGCAAAGCAAATAGAAGAAAGAAAAAAATCCTCGGACTCTGATGACTTGTTAATGATTTCTGAGGATTCCATAAGTTTAAAAACTGATGCAAGTATAAAAAAAGAGAATAGCAAGAAAAGCAAGCCTCTATCATCAAAACTTGAAAAGAAAAAAGTACTAAAAATGGGAACATATCCGCTAGAAAAAGTTAAAAAAAATTCTTCGACTTCTACAAGTCCACCAAAGCTTCAAACTTCTATTCCTGAAGCAGTCCCCGTTGAACTGTAAGTAGCGAAAATGTAAATATTTATGTTGTTTCCTAAGTTTGAAATATCCTTTAACAAATATACAATTTTAGAATACTAGTGAGAATTTATAATGTGGATATTTTCTCGATTATTGACGATGTTGTTAGTCTCTTTATTCCAATAATTCGTCTAATGAGAAACGAAAGGCGTCAAGATCCGTACAAACAACAATCATGGTTTTCGGAACCGCCGATAAAAGAGTTGAGATGCCAAGTTCTGTATAAGTTCCATAAATCATAACTATGGCATGTCTAAAAGTGCAAAGTTCTTCGATTGATTCAACATCATTTTTTTTTTTTACTTTTTTTTAATTTTAATTTATTACTTACCATATTTAATAGTAAACAAAGTTTACATATAATTTAATTTTATAGTTTTAACAAAATTTAGACAAATTTACAAAGTCAATGTTTTACAAAATTTTTAATTGTGTCGTAATTAATTATTATGTAACGCCTGAGAACACATTCTTTTATTTTAATCCAATTTTTCAAACAATATAAGGGAAACCTGTTATTTGGCCATAATTTAAGTTTGTTACAACCTACAGCGTATACAGTTATTATCAAATAATAGTTTGATAATAACTGTTTACGCTGTTGGTTTTCTAAATAAACAAAAAAAATCCACGACGCACTGTTAAAATGTTACATCTTACGCCGCTTCAATATTGCTTTATTTTTTTACAATATTAATAATTATGGTTCCAGTACTGAACATAATTTTTTTTAATCTAGATGTAAACATTGCCTACAACAATGATAGTTTACAAGTAAGGCCCCCTACTACCGCGAAACTAAAATGACGGTTAAGTTACTAAAGATCCAAAAAAAATTGTATCGCATTTCTACGAAGCTATATACCTACATTATACGTATAATCTTAAAAAAAACACTTAGCAAGCCTAGTAGTTGAAGATGTTAAAACTTAATTTGTTTATTTCCGCGCAATAAAATAAAAAGATGTGTCTTGCCTAGTTTGAGGAGCCCCTCCCACGCTCCCTCAATTGCGTGCACTATCCTTGTCACTACTAATTCCAGCACCAACATTCTCAGCACCACTACTCCCAACATCACCTCACTAGGAAACGACACCACCCTCGACAATACGACACGTGTATCTCCTCTATACTAAGTATCCTCAGGTGGGGTTATTCCGGTTATCAACCCTTAGGTGGATACTCGGAAACGCGTGTTCATCTATTGGAATCGGATGGATAATCAGAATTCACTTTTATTTGTTCTTCCGACTTTTTACCCCAAGTACAGTTTCAACTCATACACCTTAATTATTAGTTAATTTTTCATAACCACAAACAAACAAAAATCGTATTACTAGTAAATAGTGTTATTACGTAATTTATAAATTCTGCAATATGGCCAGGAAATTACGAACACTAATTTCATTATTAAGTAGACGTAACTTGATATCCTGGATAAATACATTACTTTTAATGTACATTTGCAATCATTTTCTAAATTTCTTTGCTACAACAGATGTGCTAGCGAAAAGCTGGGAGGTTTTTGCAGGTGGTTTTGGGAGGTGCTCTTCAAACTGGGCAGAACACATCATATTATTTCATTAAGAAGCAAATTAAGTTCTAACCTATTTAATATAATGGATTTCCGCAAAAAACGCCTGACTGTATTAAACCTAGTAGTATTAAAAACTACGAATGAATATAGTATTATATTGATCGATGATATATAATAGCTTTCTTTATATCCTTCTTACTTTTACGATTACTTTATTACTTTCTAAGGTTTAATGGTAACTGACAGCTTTTAATTAAACAGTGGTGTACTATTATATGCTTATTCTCAAATGTAAATTAATGTGATAATGGAAGTATAAGTCGGACAGAATTTTTAATGAAATTTGTATTTAAGTCTAGGCAAGCAATACAACGTTAATTACCCCAATTCAGTACTTTCCTAGTAAAAGAAATGTAAAACAATTTTGAAAAGTTGCTTTGTATTTTTATCATAATTTTTCTTAAAAATTATCATGAATAAAGTCGCAGCTAGTGGAAACAAGATAAAGTATAATATGTTTATGTTTTAGAATTAGAAGTTCAACAAATTCACCCTCCCAACAATCAACGATGGCATCCGCTGAGTGCATTCTTCCTGACGATGATGACAACTTCCTCGACAGCGATGACGATGCTGTTTACCTGATTAACGAACCTTCGCCGCCAGTAAGCAAAAAGTCCCCCACTCAGCAGGGCATCTCGAAATCTTTCATATTTGACAATATGTGGGACTCGAAAACTTCTTCCCAGAAAAACGAGATAGCAAGTGATACTCCATCAATATCAACACCTCCTACACCATCCTTAGCAAGAATCTCCTTAGAAAATAAAGCTAATACACCAAACAACGAATCTTCTATCATAATTCCTGATGTTTACTTAGATAATGATCCGATGGATAACGTAAAGGAACAGGTTCCTGCTAAGGACACTGCCGTCACGAATACGACTGTTGGTTCTCCTACAATCTGCTTAGATAGTGACGAAGAAGAAGATACTCCTGTAATGCATGAGGTGGCTAAAGGCACCATTTCTAATCCAGATACAAATGTACAAATTACTCAGCCACCTCTATCTGTTACGACAATGGCATCAAATGTAGTACCACTTCAAAGCTTGTCAACTTTAAATACTCCCGTGTCTAGTACTCCAGAAACACCGAGTGTTGCACCAGATAATCGGATTATGATTCCTTTAGACCAATTACAACATCGTTTACAAATTCTTAATCATCCCAAGGTAGGCGAGTCTGCTGCAAGTGAAGTTGACTCAATAAAAGATATTAACCTTACCCATAAAATACCCGTTCAAAATAATAAAGTTACAAATACTCCGACATCTCTTCCTGTAAAACGAATATGCAAACCTGGTGATGTTATACGAATCAATAGCAGCAGAGATATTGTAATACTAAATAAAAATTCCCATACTCTTACAAAATCAAATTCAAACACAATAGTTAAAGAAAAGGTAGCTGCAGCGCCCAAAGTAACTTCGACATCAAATGCAGAAAAGTTTTTATACACAAATAAGACGAATATAGACAATTTATCGAAAAAAATCGAAGATCCGAAAGTACAACAAGAAGCAGACGCACAATTTTCTAGTTCAAACAATCCTCTCTCGATATTGAAAAATGTAGTCCACATAGAAGCCGATGAGTATGATAAAACTGAATCCAGTAAAGCAATAAGTAATCAAACGTCGAAAGACAAAGAATTGATTAAGCAATCTAATACCGAAGTTAAATCAAATACTCACGACTTAACGGAATATGTGCCTATTCAAAAAGTGTCAAATATAAATAAACCTGTGATCTTAAATAACATTTTAAGAGGCCCAACTATGAAAATCAAAAAATTGTCGTTTACACCGTTCAAACAGAACTTGGGAACAGGTTTATTGAAAAAAAAATTTCTCGTTACAAATTCGGTTACGAATTTAAGTACTTCTTCAAAAACAAACAGTGCTATTATCAATTCAGTTGATCTCACAGATACAGTGTCTGACAACAATAGAAATCTTATGGACAAAGTTATAACGATTGGAAATAAAAGCAAAAATACTTCAAAAGGTTATGTAGCAACTATAACTGGTTCGGCAAAAGACCTCAAGATTGTTCGGACTGGAGAAAAGTCTTCGCCTTTTTCGGTGGATTTGACGTAAGTATATTTAGTACCATTTTATAATTAATAGTCACATTCAACAGCTATCGACTTTTGTAGTGATAATTAATTCGTATCTCCCGTTTAATAACTTAAGATGCGAGGTGATAACCCTTATGTGAAAGCCTAATTTTGTACGCACAATGAAAATAGAATACAGGTGACAATTTCACTCTTATAATTTTGCACTGCAAAGAAAAAAATGAATGTCGAAATAGACTATTTTTAGATACCCTTCAAAAGTATGAATTGTTGCCAACTGACAATTTAATAATTAAATTTACCTTATATAGTCAATTTGACATAAAACAGTGAACAATGTGGAGATTCTGACAATATTGGAGCAACAAACAAGCTAACGGTGAACTTGTAATTCTTCAAACAAAGAAGGCTTTGTCACCTCAGGATTAACCTGTAATTTTTTTTATAAGATAAGGGTGACAATTGAGCACACAGTCCACCTGTTGGTAATTAGATGCTGTGTGCCATAGAAACCCACATATATCCTCGAATAAGAATCAATATTTACATGAGTTTTCACCTCTGAGGACTAAGATAGAATGCCTAGTTACCAGTCAAAAGGGTCTCTGATTCTCTACACATGTCATACGAAACACGGCAGAGTAGCTATATTACGCTGATATTCTGTGAGAGGACCTTCCTCGGGCGAGCCGACCCACTCTTGCTGCAAACATTATATAATATGTAACAAAAACCCTGTGGTTCCTGTTAAGTTCGTTATCAGAATCAGTATTCAAACCTATAGAAATAACTTTACTTCAGAAAACTAGACATAAAAATAATCAAATTAAATTTTATTTAAATAATAATAAATGTAAATTTTATGTGGATTGATTACCTCTGTATTAGAGATGAAGCGTATATACTAGAACAGATCTAGGCACTAGGTATTAAACGAGACTAGGTTGCACCTGTTCCAGCTTTTAAAATACTTGATCCAACTAGTCTCACTGTGCCTACGCGTCGCACGGCACAACGCGGCGGCCCGCTCGAATCGAAGAAGTAGAATAGAAGTACCGGCGCGGCAAAGCGAGATAACATTTTGTTGCCATAGTTACTAGTCCGCTTTGCCGCTCACACATGTTTGCCAAAATCATTCGTGTGTCAGTCATTTGAATTTGAACTATATTGCAATGTGTATAAAAGTAAGTAACACGACGCACACTCGTGTTGTGTAAGAATATATATTCTGTCCTTTTTTAACTACACTATTCAGCAGTCTTTCTATCTTTGTCAATACTCGAGACTAGTCGGGACTAGTCCCGGGGACTTCAACCAAATACTAAGCAGATTTTATAGACTAGGTACCAGTAAATACTCGATGCGAATGGAGAGTGGAGACCATATGATGTAGTCGAGTGTCTAGTACGGACTCATGCGAATGTGATCTCGGCACCGTATTGAATGATACCTACTCGACTTATTTAGTAATAGGTATTCGTAACGAAGTTTTGTTACGTGGTTAAAGATCTTTCACTTTTTTTATTAGACATTAAAGTGTTTATTGTTTAAAAAAAATTGCAGCAGTCGCTTGGGATCATTTTACGGACAAATGCCAACAAATGTCTGAGTGTAACATTAGTAAAATATATAAATATAATATAATTTAGTTTAAAAAACTCTTAAAACTAATTTTTCACGCGTATGTAAAAAGCAATAATTGTAGATAGGTAATTGATAAAACGAAACAAAAATAATAAAAAATAAACGAAAAAAAGACAAATCGGATTACTCTTAAATAAAAAAAATAATTGAAATTTTTTAAATACGCCAACAATCTAGAATGTAGATAAATCTTAACCATGACAGTCATAAGCCTGTGTAAAGTATGAATGGACGATTGATTACTATTCATTACCTTCACGTATCGGAATCGGTTGTACGTAAAGACTAAACGTACTTTAAAGTGTATACTATTCCAACAGTACCAAACTCCACACAAACGGAAACATAAAATTTAATACTTACGATATTTTAGGTGATTTCGCATTCATTATAGGCAAGCCACTCGTATTCGTAGTCAAAAGGATAAGAAAATGAAATTGTGTAAGTAAACTATATTGTGAATTCAAATGACATAAAATAATGTCTTGGTTGACGTCTATCTGTCATTCAACTCTAGTGAAGTCGCGTCACAACTTTAACCAATCACGACGCCGCATTCAGTGCTATGTGTCCGCACAACAAAGAGTCCACTAAGTATTGTTTTTGAAATGAACGGCCTGCCATGACGAACGCAGTGAGAAATATCAAAATAATAAAAAAATACGAGCCTATGTCTACTTGACTACCACGAAGATGTTGTTCAATATGTCCGCCTTGTACCTCTATGCATTTGCGACACTGGCTTATAATGTCTGAACGCACGCGTTGCGACTTTATTTCTTCAAAGGATGCGATTATTCGCATACGCATTTCCACCTCGGTATCGCATGTTTTTTTTGAAATACAGACTGCTTAATCGTACCCGAGATAAAAATCTAAAGGTGTGAGGTGTGACATCAGATCAGATCTTTCACCGAATTCAGTATCCAAAAAAATTCTTACACAACGGGAAGAATGCGGTGGTGCGCCATCATGTTGAAACCACTAACAGGTTTTTGTTACATACTGTATAGCTGCAGCGTGGCTCTACCATGTTTTAAACTTGGACGGCTACTATTACACATAATGCTTTAACAGCTTGTCGGTAACATCGGACCGCAGTAGTGAGTGCGCAGTAGTGGAAGTAGTTTCTATCCAGATGTACACCAGAAAAGGAGACACATCCTGGTTTTCATTTATTGTCGTTTTCGGGTATTTGCAATCGGAACCGACCATGGGTAGATTATCGGTTGTCTTCGATGTTAAAGTTTATTTAAATATTTTATCAGGGATGATTCTTCCAGTAGAAGTAATGACTTCATAGCAACAGTCGACGCCAAAACTAGTGACACTAAGAAAATACAGAAGACGCTCGTGACGTCGGAAATAGCCAAAAAAAAGTCATTCGGTTAGTACAAGTTTCTTTACTTTCTTTATTATTAATTTTGAGCTCTTAGCTTAGGTCTAAAATAACTTGTACTTAGGAAGTTCAAGTTTTCCTCTTGTTAATAAGATATTTTTACGAAATACTCATTTTAGTTTCCGCGTCAGTTGACGGAAGAATTAACACGTTGGCTGTATAAAATCTCCGTTAATAACGTTTACTAACGGAGATTTTATACAGCCATTTTTAACTTATGAGAAAATAATCGAATTACTGATCTCGTAGCAATAGAGCGAATAATAGCAACCATTATGAAAAAGACATCCATTCTCCTCCATGAATTACCTCATAGGAGCGGTTTTGCCATAGTTGCCACCCTTGGCCAGCAGCTTGACGCTTTTTATATAATAATATAATATGGAATACGCTGCTGCCCATATCTTGTTTCAGTTTCCCTCTGTCGCCACTTACGACACCCACGGGTCGATATGGGGAGTGGATATTTTACACCGCCACTACACGGTACATCTCATACGAAATAGAATATTGCTAATCGACAAATGATAAAATCTCACATACCGCCCCGAGATAGCACTATATTATGAGAATCCATCCATACCTATAACTGCGAATGTGTTGGACACAGATAGGTGTTGTAAGAGGAGACTTAGAGAAATGCCTATAGATTTAATGGGCAGCAGTTTTAAAAGGTGCGAGGCATCTGGTACTATTACGGATAATCCACTAATCAGGCGTGATAGTTATAGTCAAATCGCCAGCAAAGGCTCATGTCCAGCTGTGAACTATTATAAATACCTAGATAAATACGCTAAAAAGGGCTTTGAAATATCTTGTGTGATTTGGAATATCAGTTCCGTTACTATCTAGGCAAGCGATGACAAAGATGGTGCCGTATAGACATTCTTATGTAATTTACATATAAATAAATAAATTAATAAAAATATATATAAGTACTTCGTCATCACTGCACCTCATCAATAATCCTTTGCTGAACAAAAGCCTGTTCAAAAAATATTTCTGACATGACACTGGTTTTGTGCTAGACATCATCATCTTCGCCGAATCATATGCAAAGCGTAAACTCTCCCTCAAACACTCTGTAGTTCTTGTTACTGTGTCATATTGTATGAGCCATCGAAACATTGATTGGATGGAATGAATTTCATCCTTATTTGATTGGGTGTTTTAGCTTCTTTTAATCTTAATTACGAGGGCGGCACTGAAAATTTCGGGAATCAAGGAAGTGACACAACATTACTATTTAAAAATGTATTTATTGCTTTTCGAAGTATTCTCCGTGAAATTTGACACATTTCTCCATACGATGGAACCAATCATTGAAGCAACCATTCCATTCGGAAGTTGGGGTCTCCAAAATGGCCGTTTTGTAGGCATCCACAGCTTCTTCAGGTGATGAAAATCTCTGTCCACGCAATTTATTCTGTATTTTAGGGAAAGTATAGAAATCATTAGGGCTTAGGTCGGGGCTGTACGGCGGATGGTCTAATAATTCTATGTTTTCTTGCTCTAAAAACTCTTTTGTTCTGTGTGCGGTGTGAGAACTCGCATTGTCGTGATGGAGGATGATGCGGCGGTTGCAGTTCTCTTTACGGAGTTCAGAAACGACCTGTGGCAAACAAATGCTAGCATACCATTCTGCATTAACCGTTCTTTGTCCCTCAAGAGGAATAGTCGTAACATGGCCGGTTTTGGAGACAAACGTGGCCACCATTTTTTTTGCAACACTCCGTGAACGAACAATTCTTGTTGGCTTTAACTCATTTTCGAACACCCAAATTCGTGACTGGTTTTTTGTTTCGGGTTCGTACGCGTATATCCAGGATTCGTCACCTGATACGATGTTGTATACAGCATTTGAGGATCCTGCGTGGAATCTTTCAAGAGTTCTGACGCACCAAGTAACGCGAGCCGCTTTTTGCTCTGCACGGAGCGAATTCGGTATCCATCGGGAAAACAACTTTTTTACGCCTAATTGTTTATGCAAGATTATTTGTATTTGACTCATGCCAATGTCTAAAGTTGCCTGAATTTCGTTGTATGTCACATGTCGATCTTCCTCAATCAGCTTACGCACAGCATCAACGTTTTCTTGGGTGACTGCAGTTTTTGGACGACCTTGACGGGGATCATCACTGAGCTTGACACGTCCACGTTGAAATTCAGCAAACCAGCGATAAATTGTGGTTTTGGATGGGGCTTCATCACCAAATGCAGAAATCATCCGGTCAACACACTCTTTTTGTGTTAAACCACTTCGAAAGTCATAATAAATCATCGCTCTTGAATTTTCTCGAGTCAATTCCATTTTCTCAACGACTAAACAAGTTTGATAAAACCTTGCGACAAGACCGAGAATCTTTTTTTAAATAAATAATGGTATTCGATTTTTAAAACCAAGGAGTTTTCAATTAAAAAGATTTTAATATGACAGGAACAGTGGAAATATTCTATTCCCGATACTTTTAGTGCAGCCCTCGTAAGATTAGAATTCTCATATCAGTCTTTCATTAATAATAATATATGTGCTAGAATTGATGCAGCAGTCTCTTAGACAACTTAAAAAGGTGTTTTTAGACAAAAGTATCTTTTATCCAAAAACTTTATAACATTTATCTTGATCACATGGAATAATACTGTTCCAATCTCTGGGCCGGGGCACCCCAGTGCCAGCTCCTTCCACTTGACCGCATCCAGCGCAGAGCGGTTCGAATCATCGACGACCGAATTCTTTCCGATCGGCTTGACTCACTGGCACTGCATAGAGATGTTGCATCGCTTTGCGTATTTTATCCCATTTACCACGGGGGGTGCTCTGAGGAATTGTTCGGATTAATTCCAGCCGCTCAATTTCACCATCGCACATCGCGACAAAACTTGCGATACCATCCATACCATCTAGATGATTGGCGGTGCACCACTGTGCGATTTAGAAGATGTTTTCTTCCTCGTACAACTTCCTTGTGGAATCGATTACCACCAGCGATTTTTCCGGACCGATACGACTTAGGGACATTCAAGAAAAGAGCCTACTCCTTTTTAAAAGGCCGGCAACGCATCCTCAGCAATTCCCCTGGTGTTGCAGTTGTTCGTGGGCGGCGGTAGTCACTTACCTCCAGGTGAGCCGCATGCTCGCTTGCCCCCTGTCCTATAAAAAATCATACATTTGCCAATTAATAACTAACTTTTTATTAACATTTTAATTATTTTTTTTTACAGAAAAATTGACGCTAAAGGACTTTGACATCGAGGATATCGACGATATTATTGAACTCGACTAAAAAATTGAATTTTATTCACACAATCATTACTTAGACTTAAATGTAAAATGTGTTAAGACTTAAACTCTACCTTGATGGTAATAGAGTTTTTTTCCTTATTCTTTTAAAGTATTACGCTTAGTGTTTTATGTGTATAATACAAATAAGACAAAGAAAGATTTTTGAAGGATTTTGCTTCAACTAAATCAATGTTACAGTGAGTATAATGCATGGGTAACGCAACTTTTTTTTTATAAAAGAATTACTAGTATAAATAAGTTGACGAAGTTAGGTGAAAAGTAAATAAACGTTTTTTTTTTTCATTTTCTGAATAAATTTTTGCGAGATTAATTAAAACTAACACTGAGCATGCTAAGAAAGATTTCTAAATTTTTTGACTAAAATGAGAAAGTTATTTAGTTGTTATTTTATAATGTGATACTGTTTATCTTTAAGGTTTTTTTTTAATTTTTGTTATCCAATTACATGAAAATTATTTTTTATTAAAAAGTCAATATTATAATTTAAAACGATTTTCAAAAGTGGAAAATGATAGTTGTGTATTGGGGTGATTTTTAATTTGTGTTATTATTTACTATTAAAGTACCCATGTCTATGTTTCTCGCTACACAGCTGCTAATTATAATTATTATGGATATAGATATTCATTGATAAGTACATTTATTTATATAAGCATTTCTACTATTCATTTTACTATTTCAAAAATCTCGTCTTAAGGTAAATTACTATAAATGGTAACTACAATTATCGTATAGAAATGTAATGTTAATATCTCATAGTGAAAATTAATTTTAATTGTATAAGAATATGCAACTGTGTTTATAATTTGTAGTAAGATTTAAAATTAAGCCACTTCTGAAGATATCTATTTGCATTTCTGAATGTCGGTAGTTGGTTATTATGTAAAAATAAAACAATATGATTAATGCAACTGTTTATTATATTAATCTTACAACCAAAAATAATTATATTAAAATAATTTATGAAAGCTTCTACATAACAATTGTTCGAAAAATTATTTTAATATAACCATAACTCAATGACCTCAATAGTGTTTCCCAACGGATAGGACTTAAGATGAACATGGACAAAACAAAGATCATGTTTAATATCCATGTCACACCTATGCCGGTAGTTGTTGGCAGCACTAAGCTCGAAGTTGTTGACGAGTATGTTTACCTGGGACAAATAGTCCGACTAGGTAAGTCCAACTTCGACCGAGAGATCAATCGACGGATTCAACTCGGTTGGGCAGCGTTCGGGAAATTACGGCACATCTTCTAGTCAGGTATACCTCAAAACTTGAAAACGAGACTGTACAACCAGTGCGTGTTGCCAGTGATGACATACGGAACTGAGACGTGGTCCTTCACTGCTGGCCGGATGAGGAAGCTCAAGGTCGCTCAGCGAGCTGTGGAGAGGGCTATGCTCGGAGTTTCTTTGCGTGATAAAATCAGAAATGAGGATATCCGCAGTAGAACCAGAGTGACCGACATAGCCCAACGGATTAGTAAGCTGAAGTGGCAATGGGCCGGCCATATAACTCGAAGAACCGACAACCGATGGGGAAAAAAGGTTCTCGAGTGGCAGCCTCGTACCGGCAGGCGAAGTGTTGGGCGTCCCCCCACTAGATGGAGTGACGACATGGTAAAATATGCAGGAAGTCGATGGATGCAGGTGGCTCAGGACCGTGCTTTGTGGCATTCCTTGGGGGAGGCCTATGTTCAGCAGTGGACTTGTGAAGGGCTGTAATGATGATGATGATGATGAACCATAACTGACCAGTCGTTATCACTTTGAACTCCAAGCTTACAATACATTTTAAATAATTTTTTAATAGATTTTTGTTCAATAGATTCTCTAACAGATATTTTAAAAACAGCCTTTATCTTATCTATTTACCAAGAATCCTCTCACAATTATGTTATTCAGACAAATGACAGTAGTGCAGGACTTTCTATTAATAATGTTATTGAAACAGAAACTTCCTTTGGAACATCGCTCAAGGTTAAGCAGAACTAATGTAGCGAGTGGAAATTACGCAAAATGATACAGAATGTTTCAAAATGTATCAATCAAATTCAAACATAATCAACAAAATCACAAAAATCCGCCTTTTTATGTTTTTGTAAAAAAGAAAAATCTGAAAATTTTGTACAAGTCTTAGTAGACCAAACGAATAAATGCAAGTCAGCAAAATATTTTATGGGTATATATATGTATATGTATCAAAATTCATCTTACGTCCGCATGCGAGTGTCTGTATTACTTAGCCCGTGACGCGCCTTTGTTGTACTGTAGGGTTAGGTGTTGTGAGAAAAAAAATTGAATCCTTTGGTATTAGTTGGTATATAGTAGAATACATCGAGGGGTTATGCAATGTAATAGTATTTCTTTTATTTTGTTAAAAAAACATTATCCCTACACTAGAATTTTCTCCTGTATCTTCGAGGCAGTTAACATAAATAAATTGCACAAGGACAAACATCTAGACCCGGAATAATTATTTGTAGGCCATACAAATACTAGTTCCATGCGGCATTCGAACCCGCGGCCCCAGCGCTGCAACTCATTGCTAAGCCACTGCGCCACGGAGCCATCAATTTGCTGATAATAAAGACTATTGTTCAATGTTAGGAAGGTTAATATGCAACATCGAGGAAAATTAAGATTATAACAACGTGAACAATTATTTCGACTAAGTGTTAAACAAAGACCCAGTATATTATGCTGATCTTTCATTAGTAGGCAGTCACTAGTACTGGGAGGTCTACTTACACTGAACCTATTTTAAGGTCATTAGCATTATACGCGAAAAAATTGAAAACTGCTAAGCTGTGGTCGGGTCCAATCAAATAATAAATTTGTAAATATTGGGTCAGTAACTAAGTACCTAATTATCTAAATCTACCTATAAATAATAATATACAACGTTATTATACACAGATGGTGTATCTAGAAAACTGGACGGAAATTACAAAATATTTTCGTTTTTCCTTTATTTATACACTAAACACTAATTGTATTCTAAATTTGAAGCTTCTACGTCTCCTAGAAATGCCTTAGAGTTTTGATGATCGGTCAGTCAGTGAGTGACAAAATTAAGAAAATTTGACCAAATATAATTCTTAAACTACTGGTTCAAATTTAATGAAATTTGAAATATATCGTGTTTATATAATGCATGCTTGGTTATTGAAAATTTAGGCTTCTAGTTTTATCCACAACGAAGTTATAGGGGGTCAAAAATGGCCTGAACTGCTTCGAGAAAAGGATGGTACGGCCGTACCGCTTTTTTGCTCGACTTGCCGGGGGCACTACCGTGCCTCCAGATCCGTGAACACATTGAATTTGACGGTCGTAATCATCATGACTATGTAAATGTGGGTAATGGTATCCATGGTGATCAAGTAGACAAGGCAAAAGAGGTATTAGTAATCATGGCAGTGGCAATTAATTCTTTTTGGAAAATTCCAGTTGCTTATTTTTTTTGGAAGAGGATTTACTGCTTTACATAAAGCAACACTTCTAAAGCAGTGTATTGCTTTATTATCAGATTTTGTAAATGTTATGTTCGCGGATACGGAGCGCAGGGGACTAGTTAAACACTCAACGGCTGTCGATGTACTGCTTTAATTGCAAACATTATTATTGGGTGCGGACGCAGCCGCGCACAGGTATAATACACAACAGTAAAAGTTGCTACTGTCACTTTTGATGTAAGGAGTGTAGAGAGAAGGAAGAAAATCTCTATATATGAAAAGTGTCCCTAAAAACGTGTCCAATAAGGGTAATACATTTTTTTATGTTTATATAATTCTATATATTTATTTAATGTTATCTATTACTCTTATTTTATTTGATAGTAGTGTTAGTATGTCTTAATATTTATTTTTTGTTAATATTGTGTTGTAAGGGCCGCCTTCTGTGGTGAAAGCCTCCTCCAAATAACTCCAAGTGGTTCTGTCTTGTGCTAATCTTGGCCATAGTGTACTAGCTACTTCAACGATGTCATCACTCCACCTTTTTGATGGCCTACCTCGTCTTCTTTTTTTATATAATGGATACCAGTTCGTTACTGTTTGTGACCACCTACTGTCTGTTACTCTCTGTATATGGCCAGCCCATTTCCATTTTAGCGTCAGGATTTTTTCGACAACATCTCTTGTCTTTGTTCTTTTCCTGATCAAAGCGCTTTGAATTCGATCTTGTAGTCTTACATTCATGTAGCTTCTTTCTATCCCTCTTTGGCATGTTCTTACTTTACTAAGAAATGATTTTTTTAGTGGCCAAGTTTGACATGCATACATTAAGCAAGGAGTCAGACAAATGTTCATTGCCTTTGTTTTTAGTTTTGTTGGTCGAGATCCTTTAATTATTTCCTTCATAGACCAGTACTTGTTCCACGTACTCTTTATTCTTCGGTCTATTTCCCTTTCTGTGCAGGATTTGAATGCTATAAGATGCCCGAGATAAATATAATCTTTAACGTAGTCAATAGGCACTGCCTGTATTGATATAGGTTCTTTGTCTCTGTTCGTCATAATCTTCGTTTTGTCCCTGTTTATTTGTAGTCCGACTATTTCGCTATGGGAGCTGAGTGTTTTTAGCATGTATTCTAGTTGTATTGGGTTTCCGGAGAGTAGAACGATGTCGTCTGCAATTCGGAGGTTTGAAAGGTACACACCGTTTATATTAATGCCCATATCTTTCCAATTGAGGTTTCTGAAGATGGATTCTAATACAGCGATGAATAATTTTTGGTGAAAGTGGGTCTCCTTGTTTTACCCCTCGTTCTACACGGAACCACGGTCCTTTGTTATCCAAACGTACTCTAGTCATACTTTTACCATATATGGTTCTAATCAGATCAACATATCCTTTTTCGATTCCTAGCTCGTTTAATGCGTGCCAAATAGAGTTATGTGTTATGGAATCGAAGGCTTTTGAATAATCTATGAAAGCTATATATAGAGGTAATCATGCTCTGTATATTTTTC